GGATCGGTGGGAAGATTGGGATTCGAAACATAAAAGCGGGATTGAACTCCAGCTGTACGTGCATTCCAACTGAAGCCTGCCCGAAGATCACAGGTGAAGTTGCATTGCCCCTGTGCATGCATGTACACGTGCCAAGCATCAGCAAGAATATTTACTTGGAATACAAATTCATGCCGTATTAAGCGCGTCACGCGGTTTTTTTAACAAACATTCCACGAGTGTTGTTGAATGGGACATGTTTGATAGCCAACCAGAGCGTTGACGCCAAATTGCGAGCATCAATGGCGACCACAGTAATTCCACACACGTGGCTAGTTTTGATTTGTTAGGAAATTTGGTTAAGCCATTCTATAGTGTCTTTTAAAGCAGGCTAACCAATAAAAAAGCCTCAATTTGAACTTTCCAATAACGTAGTTTCAATAATGATGAACATCATACGCAGAAGAAAAAAAGCTATAAAGCTGTCAAAGCATGACCTATGCGCTGTACCCTTGGGTGATCACACTCCTCGGGTCACAGCTAAATGAGACATGCCAAGTTGATAGTCTGCTTGATCAAACTTACTTTGTTCTTAGGATTCCACTCAGCCATGATCAGCCACGCTCCTAGTTACCAGGACATGTTAATGAAGTGGCTTTCCGAGGCAGGGTATGGAGAGAAGTACTGGGTTCCATGCTACAGAGCCCATGTCAATGGATGGCAAAAACTCGTCTTTCACCGAATGTGTGATAATAGAGGCCCCTCTGTCACTATAGCCAGGATAGATTCATTTGTGTTTGGGGGATTCTCTGATAAAAGCTGGAAAAGTGAGCAACAATTTATCAGCCATTTTGTATCTATGTTGGTAAACTAGGTTAAATTAACGTGGCATAACTGTACCTCTCTTTTTCATCATTCGCTTTGTATGTATAAAAGCTATCTCTCGTAATGCCATCGGCTCAGTTGAGTGCAAAGATTTCAAACGCATCAATCACGACTCCAACTTGCCCTCAAAAATTGTTCTATTTTGTCTTAATGGAGCACAGTTCTACTAAGTCCAAGCACACATAACAGTTGATTAGGGCTCGAGGCCAGGTGCGGAATTTTGTCAGAGGAACATTAGAATTGAACTCCTGAATTGAACTCCAGAATCTCAAAGCATTATATTTGGGTCAAAATATATTGGCACTCCATCAACAGATATTTTTTACATCATCTACTGACACTCGTTTTGTTCCAGGTTTCCATCCCTATAAAGTATTTCCGTCTAGCAACGCATTCCTCTTCAGCTTAAAACCTTTCAGCGATAAGCCAAAGAAGCTTGACGTGTTACTGGAAAAAAGACATCAAGCCTTACATATCCACAGATATAGAGGGCCGTGCTGGGGGGAGGAGAGACAAGAACTTTGTTTCAACGACCAGAATGTCGCAACGGGAATCATTATCGGTGGAGTATTTAACGTCAGTGGAATTACTGATGCAACTGTCAGTAAATATTTTACCGGACAAACGTCTTTCCAGGCTGATGATCTTCAGGTTTTTGTAATTGGAGGTAGGCAACAAAGCATCCGAATCGAATGCGTAACCGCTCCAGCTATGCCAGATAATTCTTCGGATAAAAATTAAGGCCTAACCAGTAACTACAAATCTAAGGAGGAGAATATGCTGCCTTTGCCATGCCATCTTCAAATGGGTACACATTCAAGTCTTTCCGGATAAGGAAAATAAACGCTGGGCCTCTTCTCCTGTAGCTTCTCTGTACTGGTTAGCAAGGGATATTTAAGGACCCACACACTTCTTGCGAAGACCATGTAACGTAACTCCCGGTGTTGTGATCTGGCCTGTGCTTTTTATATACAGGCCCCCACTTAACAGAGTTTTAAATCCCGTCCACACATCGCAGATAAATAAGTTGCCTGAGAATATCTTCATAAAATAAGATATAATCTCTTGCACGAGGCCATCTATTGCTGGACAAATTAGTTCTCGTTCTTACCTCTATGATCTGGGTAAAACCCCTATACAGCACCATTTAAAAGTAGAGGTCCTGTAATAGTTCTACGCCGTCAAGGAGATAGTGACATGAATATTTCATACTTGAAGGCAAGCATTAATTTCACAGCTTTTCTCTCTGCATACACACTCGTGGTAAAGTAAATCAACTCAATCTCAAATCAATTTACACGTAGATTCTTTATGCGATCCACCTTGTTGGGAAGGAGAAAGCTGTGATGAAATTGCAGGAAAATGCATTTGTGACCCGACCAGGAGAGAGGAAGAGATGTGCAGAAGGAAGCAAGGTGAACCGAATGGGTCATTCACAATCACACATAACTCTTTTTTTTTCCTTTGACCAGTTTCGATCCTTCGTTTTCCATATTTTGTCACTTAAATTCCTGATCACTAGCGTAATGTTGTGGCCACAACATTTGTATAATTCCGAAAGCCCAAACGAACAATTACGAAGTTTTTTCAAGTATTTAACGTAAGATTTGCTTTTATCCTCCACCTCTGACACCTACTTGTATTATGCAATGGAAAGTAACGTAAGATTTGCTTTTATCCTCCACCTCTGACACCTACTTGTATTATGCAATGGAAAGTAACGTAAGATTTGCTTTTATCCTCCTACTCCGACACCTGCTTGCATTATGCAATGGAAAACACGCAATCCAATATCCAAAGGAACTAAGCACCGATTACCAGGTCTTTTTAATTAGCGACAGAGTATAAAATGTGATATTTACCTAAAATTCAAATTTGCGATACAAAAGCTTTATATTATTTTTTCTGATATTAATAAATCAAAGAATGCAACATTTCTATCAGAATTCTCTTTCAGGGTGTTTAATGAAAAATAAAAGAGCAACTGTGTACCCCCAAAAGGGGAGTCTAGAACCACTGCATATGATTTTACGCCATAGCCTGTTATCTCATCAATGTTAGATACATTATTTGCCATAAATGACTTATCGTTCACTTCTATTTGTGGTTCAATTATTTCTATTTCTGTCCCGCATTAGAGTTGCGACAACTAAGGGACAAGAGCTGCAAGGAACGATGGGAACATCAAAGGCCAATCAGCTGTTCAGGTCGATTATTTGCACGATACGACATCAGGCATACCGCTGACTCAGTGCGTAACTGGCGATGCTACTATGAAGATGCTCTAATCAGGGATAGAAGTCGATATGACACAATCAAGAAGTCAAATTGCTATCATACAGATAGCGAACTTGAAAGCTTCACAAGTGAAGGTGAATGTGAAGATATGAAGTTATTGCTACAGTACTCAAACTGTATTATGACTGATGCTTACAGATTCTGATCAAGTACATAGTCAATACCAATGAATTTAAAGTAAAACCAATAACACGCCGAATTTCTTTGTAAAAACTTGACAAAAGTCTCTCGACGAGCCATGATTTATCATAAAAAATTTTAAAAAAGGAACAGAGTACTTAAAATTGCTACCCTCCCTAGTCTATATAGGATAGCATTGTGGCGTCGTATATCATATTCATCATTTAGGTTGTTGCTAGACCCTTGCAATCCTTACTGATATCACATGATTTCTTTCCAGAAGACTATTCTAAGAAAAAAATGAACTGAGCTCTGTCAAGTGACGACTCTATCTGTTAGAATTTTAGTAATGAAACCCATACCAGGCGCAGTCATAGGCTTAAGCTTCTTGAACCTTACTGTAAGAAAGACGTCTTCAAATTTTCATTTTTACTTTTGCATTTTGTAAGTGGTTGGTGTGTTGTCTAACCGGCTATTGCCGACCTAATTGAGATGTCGATGAAGGTAATGCGGTTATCACTGGTGTCTCGAAATTGAACTAAGTTCTGTATCACGATCCACTCGTTACAATTATTCACAAAAATGTAAACAGATTGATTCACTATGTTCCGGTCGTTTGCAGATGCCGGTTGTCGTCCCCTGGGTATGGAGAGTGGAAGCATACTTGACTCGCAGATCACGGGCTCGTCTGAATTCGCCCCTTCATCTCGTCACGGGGCTCCCAACGCACGGCTGAACAATGCTGCTAACGCGGGTGCCTGGGCGGCACGCAGTAATGATGTCAACCAGTGGTTGCAAATCGATTTTCTAGTTAAAACAACAGTAGCCAAAGTGGCCACTCAAGGAAGGAAAACCTACCCTCAATGGGTGAAGAGTTATTCCTTGTCTCATAGCTTGGATGGAACGAACTTCGAGGAACATAGAAAGTGCGGCACAAATGAGGTGAGCCCGACTGACGCAAAATCCAATATGTAAAGGGAAATATTTGAGTCAGGCATTGACCAACCGCCAAGTCATTTATACTGAAAATTTCCTTGTTTACTTTTTCGTTGTTATAATGGCCCAGGGTCATCGAGGCATATAAAAAAAGCATAAACGAACATGGCCGATATTAAACTTTCCCAACTGAGCATGCTTAGTCTAAAGGGACTTTAAAAACAATCGCGACGGCGATTGCGATGACAGGGTGACGATACAATAGATTTAATGATGTGAACTGTAGCTCAGCACGCACGTTTTGCAACTTTTTTCCTTTCCTTCCAAAACAAGAACTGAGATCGCATAACTTTGCAAATTCTGAGAACGGGACCACTAACGGCAATTTTTGGATCAATATCAGTATCTGGGCAACTGCCCACCTACCCCTCCCCTAACTCAACAACAGTTAATGTTAAAGTTGGGTTAGGGGAGGGGTGGTGGGTAGTTGCCCAGATACTGATATTGATCCCAAATTTTCCTAGTATTATACTTCGAACCCTCCGCCCCATTCCCCTTTCATATTGAGGAGGACACTTGGCGTCGTTAGAGAAACTAATCACATCCTACTACTCCTAAACTATCTAAGAGGAAACATTTTTTTTTAAAGTGATATTTTCCCAGGTTTCGTCGTCTAAACCTCTTTAACTCCATGCGACAACAACGTGTGACCAAAAGATATTCGTGACATCTTTTTTGTCCTTAAACTTTCAGTGAAACTAATCAATTGCATTGTTTGACAGATTTTTAACGCCAACTGGGATGAGAACACTGTTGTGTATAACACAATCAATCCAGTCATCTTTGCGCGTTACATCCGGGTTATGCCGAAGACTTGGAAGTCACACATATCCATGAGGGTGGAGTTTTATGATTGCGGCGGTAACTACATTTGATTCACTTTATACGAAATACTGTGGTGGATTCATCGATCCTTTGGAACTTATCCGTCCCCTTTTTTCATCTGACGAGCATAGCCATTTGGAACGAAAATATGCACGGATATTTATCAGCCGACATAATCCGTTGAAAGATGCAAACAGTTTTCCGAGAGCTAAGCTCTGCAAAAAGAAAGGGCGGGGGCTGGGAAGATCAGATAGTGTCCGAGGGCAAATACACGATATCTTTACGCTAAATGGAAGCTTTTGTGTCTATCATCCCTCAAACATTTTTCAACGCGCGGGATTTATTATTACACTAATATGTCAGTATGTAGTTTTAGAAATACTCCCGCTGTTTTGTCTAAGCATCGTATCGGCATAAGGCGTATGCGAAAGAAGAAAACAACACAAACGAAATCATTATAGTGTTCTTTGTGTCAACAAAATAACCTGATGCGCTCAAAGTTCGTTTCCTTAAAAAAATTGAAGTTTGGATGGTTTGGTACGCCATTTTGTTGCTCCGCTTTCCTTGCACCTCCCATTTCCTTAATATAGCAAAATGCCGGGGTAAGGGAATAATTAATAATCATGATAACAGCGAAACTTTGTTTATGTTAGACAGAAAAACTGATAAACTTATAAACCGAAATGTGTTGTTATAATGCGAAAAAGAAAGTTACGTAGTACCAAGGAGTTTGTCTTTGCAATTACCAATACAGGGTCTGAATATAACGTTTTCAAGGCAGATGAGTTGCTTTCACAAGCAGAGTACGTATGGACGTTTGACCACTTAAACGATATTAAAGACCTTCCGGGAAAAACTTGGGCTGAAAGGAGCGCCCTTTTACAATCAACCACTGGTGTGCGAGGCAGAGCTGTTTCAACTGCTGGCGGAGCTGGACCAATCAGATTACACGACGACTCAGAAAAATCATATCTCGTTTGGCCACTTAAGAGCGCGCAAGTAACGGTAGCTCTGTGGCTTCTGTACCATAGCAAAGTTCCCCCCGACTTCCAAACTTTCCTGGCTTCGGCAGAAGAAGTGTCAGGTGGAAGAGGGATTCATCTCTTCCAGATGGACGGGAGCAAGGAGGAACTGACATTTCGAGTGACGGTCGGAAATGGGCGATGTTTCGTAAAGTTTCATGCCCCTCAAGGAGTCTGGACTCATTGGGTATTCACATGGAAAAAAGTGAATAATAAACTATCTGAGGACATGACTGTGTATCGTAATGGGAAAGCAGTTGATGATTTGCTTCAGAATACTTGTGAGGCTCGTAACTATCCGGAGATAACCAACTTTGACTTCACAATAGGTTCTCACACTTTACCGAAAGCGTCTTTTGATGACATCATTGTTTGGTTAAAATTGCTTTCCACGTCGGAGGTGGAAGAGTTGTTCAGTTACTACGAAGGTAAGGATGGTCTCAACTACTACATTTCCCTGTTATAAAGAGCCAAAAGTCTATCAAGGTAGTCGGTAGAACGTCGGAGCCAGTTTTTAAAAACTGACTTGTCAGCCCTTCTCGCAAAAAAGAAGTAAGGAAATCGTCGGATTGGGAAAGAGGTTAACGCAAATTTTCTAAACCAATCACAGATTGTAAAGAGGCGTAACCAATGCAACTCTGGAGGACAAATGACTTTTAATCGCAATTTTTTCATCACTGATGCTCATGTGCAAAGTGCATTCCGCCCATAATGACTGTTTTCTGACGCTATTCTATGATCTTATATAGGCAGAGCCAATCTTCACGTGAATGTGAGTTTGGAATTGACTGATGAAGAATTTAACCTCGAGTATAGGAATATTACTTCTGAAATTTTCAAGTACACATCCACTTGGATAGAGAGTCAGGTAAGGAGGTATTTCAGTTAGCAAGACATGAGTGTAAAACTCACAAAATCTGGAACAAAGAAGATATCCATCGATTTCGTGTACAGTAACCAGTTGTCTACTGTCTTTCCTTAACCTTTTCACCCCTAGGGAGGTATCACTAGAAAATTTTGTTTTTATAAACTGAATTAATAATGTGAATTTGCCACCATAAAGAGAATCTAAAGCTGACGTTCAGAGCACGAGCTTTTCGTCAGAGCGAACTTTCTGCTGTTCGCCTGCCGCTCGCTCTGAGAGGAACCAACTACTGAACTAAGTTAACATTCTCAAATTATAGTCAATTGTCCCCAACGGTAGGCGTATCATTATTTTTTCAAAAATTTCTTAGTTTCTCTGTAAGAATTTGCCAGAAGTAGACAATAAACCTAGAAACGAAGTAACCTGGAGTATAATCAATGGTATTTTCGCAATTTGAAACACATTACACGTGGAATGAATGCTCAGTATTGACTGATACACTTCATGTTTTCCTTTTTGCAGGTTATGAGCCTCCATCAGAACAATTCGTTGTTATCAGTGGATAACTTTGTGTTTTGGTAATAACTATCCGCCTATTACAAACATCTTAATTACCGTAGATAATTGAGAGAATGATAACAAAAGCTCTCTGTTTGGTGTGATAAAATTGCACAACGTAACATCTCATATCATATGGACCGAGAGGCATTGCGGTCAATAATTTTCCGACAATTTTTTTAGCCAAATGAATAAAGGGGGTAAGTTTCTAAAGAAACTGTGGTGCTGCGGCGGTGGGAGTGTATAACGGGGTAATTTAGTATTATTAACTGAGTTGATAACGAAAATTGGCCAACGTAAAGAGTTTAAAAGCTGACGTTTCGAGCGTTAGCCCTTCGTCAGAGTGAGTTTAGCCAAAGCTATTTAAACAAGTTTCTCCTTCAGACGTATATAAAATCGAAGACTTTATTGCATTCAACTCTTGCACACCGCGTGTGTGTTCTCTGTGTGCTTTTGCATAATGTACCAGCTTACTTAAATATGCTTACACACAATATAACTTACAATAGGTGTTAATTATCACGTAGTAATATGTTACACTCCTCACCTGCTTTTCTTTACCAGCTTCTCAAACGGCATTTTCCCTAAGTCTCTCTCGTTCTTTCTGGTTGTCGTCCGGCCATTGGGAAAACTATTCAATCAACCCCAAAAATCTCTTATTAATATTATCATCTCATGCCATACAAAAGAGACTTCAAAAGCATTGTATAACCATGAATTATGAATGAAGAGATCAACGGCTCTATGGGTAGTCATTCTAAGTTAGCATAATGAGTGATTTACTTTTCTCGTTTAACAATTAAAATCTTATCTTTATTAAAACTCTTTTATTTTACAAAAACGTGGATACCTCCTGTCATTGACCATGCGCAAAAGGTTATGGCAATCATGTACAAGAACACCCACAAAGCATTTGGGTCTCTTCGTTCATTTCCAGCGCTTTTTAATTGTCAAGGTTTTTACAATGTGGTATATAAAGGCTTTGCACCCAGGTAACACGCTTCTTTGCGACCTAAGTTTTTCTCCTGTTTTCGTTTTAACTGATCTCTTAACCGTGAATGTTTTCTGTTTTTTTTTTTGTTTTTTTTTTGTTTTTTTCGTTTTTGCACCCTTCACCTCTTTGCAACTTATTTCAAGTAATTCTGTAAACTTTGTTTTTACTCCTGTTCCTCTTGTGATTACCCTTAAAGAAAGGGTACATCCCACCACCTTGATCAAGAGATAACATGATTTGTGATGCAATTTTCGCAGGAATGTCACCAACGTGGCGGCGAACTTTACTGTCAGATTCAAAGGAACTGAGTACAGAGAGATAGAACCGCTCCAGACAAGCCTCGTGTCGCAAAGCATGTTGGGTAATCGACCCATAAGATTACTTTCCAAACTGACAGCTAATGACAGTAAGTCCGTCTCCTCTCTTTGTGACAACAAGTCGGCTGTAAGCAAACCTCGAGGTTTTTTGTTAATGCTGAAATCGAGAACAATCTGACATTTTCGGGTGAAGCAAGAAAATCGCGAGACCGAGAATGGAAATCATCGCAAACTAAGTTTCAGTTCTTGCAAAATTTAATTTGGAAGTTTAAACTCTATTCCAGAGTCTTAATCATATAGTTTCACAAGACTGTTTAACTAGCAATGTTTTTACTTAGGATAATTAGCAAAGTACCAAATGAATAGCATAAATTATTAGCGCGTACAGAGTAAAGAAAAGTGACTCCTATTCTCTGGCGGCTTTGATTCCCCCATCAATAGTCCGCTTCAGTTCGTTATTTAGAGAGCTTCAAGAAAACTTAGATGTGATCAATCGGTATTACAATCTACTATTTCAGAATTTTTTGTGAACTGTATTATGTATACTGTAACTGTAGAGAACACAGTTTCCTAAGGTTCTCTTTGAGCTATAATAATAATAATAATAATAATAATAATAATAATAATAATAATAAGACGTTCTAGCTTCCCTGCTGAGTTCAATCTGAACCAAGACCTAGATATTTCAGTTTAAACTAATTACACCGTTTCATCGAAAAGTAAACCTTATATTTTTCTCACGCCTGTAATGTTGTATCGTCACAACTTGTTCACATTTCTTGCAGTTTACATCCACTCGCTCCACGTAACAGCACAGAACAAAAGCTCGACTTCTCTGGCAGTGTCTTGGAATTATCCTGAACAATTAATTCATGGCATTTTTTGCGCGGTCGACATCTCGTACCGTGTAATTAACTCAGTAGAGAGACAGATTGTCGGAGTTACGTCTGGGTCGACGGAATTTGAGGTTAAAAACCTAAAGCCTTATACTTTATACGCCATAACTGTCACGCCTTTTACTCACGAAGGAAAAGGAAAGGAAAGCGATGAGGCGATTGCAAGAACATCCGAAGGTGGTAAGTTATAAACGCGGGTGAATAATTAAAAATTGGACACGTTTTGGGATTGAAGTCTACAGATGTACTGAAATTTGAGGTTCACAAACGGAAAATGCACTCAAAAGCGTTCACAGCCAGAACGTTTGCATACTAACATAGGTGCCACGAACTCTTTCGATTGCTTGATTACCAACTCGAGTTCCAGAAACTTAAAGTAGCAAGTAAGACCAGTATGAATGGGAATACTTTCTCAGATAACCTTCCTTATTTCAAATCTCACTGTCAACCGCTTACGCGTCCACATGTGGAAAATATGAGGCTGTGTTACAAGTCAGTCTTTTCGAAATCCGAATCAAAGATACCAAATTAGGAGAATCTTCTAAATACTATCCTTTTAATGATCTGGGTCTCTCTTTTGAATAATTTTTTTCTTCGTTCCAACCTTGCCACCACTGTCATGTCACCACCATGTTACAAGTTAGTCCTTTTGAAATCCCACTCCATGTAACACCACAGTTCAGAAATCCCACTCCACACAAAAGACACCAAATTGGGAGAATCTTCTCAATATTACCCTTTTTCATGATTTGGGTCTCTCTTCTCTTTAATTTTTCCCAGTTCCAACCTCGCCACCGCTGAACGTGAAGGTCTTCGTCAACAAATCTACCGAGAAGCTAGAGGTCTCATGGGAGCCACTTCCTTCGGAGCACCGTCTCGGTATTATTCTAGGTTACAAAATCACATATGTTCCACAAAGTGGTGGAAATTCACGGGGCATGGTGGTGAACACTTCCAGTCTCTCAACAGAACTACAAAACCTTCCGAAAGGGATACCTTACGTGATAGAAATTACAGCGTTTAATAGCGTTGGCGAAGGTCCACCAAGTCCAGCAATTGTGGCTAGATCACCCGAAGGAGGTAAGAATTATTTTTGTCTAAACATCTTATTACATACAACATAGTCTTTATGAGTGCTCTTTCTTTAGCAATTTCCTTCTTCCCAAATGCAAAGTAAGGTTAGAATGCAGCAACAATACATTTCAACCTTACAAAAAACCACGCGGCACAATCTACCAGTCTGAATAAAGAAGTGTTTCTCTGCATGAAGCTTAACGAAATTTCTCAAATGTTACTCGTGGTTTTCATAGTAAACTTAACCATTTTTCCACCAAGAAAGTATTGCGTAACTTCTCTGTTATAACACTTATGACACTATTCACGATTGACCTCCGTTCAAGGAACACAAACTTTTGTTTTTACGAGAAAATGCTGTAGTAACCGTCGAAATTATAACGTTCATCGAAGAAAACCCTCTAATTAAGGGACACCTTTTTATGTAAATTGGTCACCGTAAAGAGTTTCTAAGCAAACGTTTAAAGCGTGAGCACTTTGTCAGAGCGAATGAACGAAGGGTGAACGCTCGAAGAGTTAGCTTAGAAAATCTTTGCGGTGGCCATTTTACATTATCAACTTAGTTGATAAAGACGGTTAAGAATATATGAAAGTCATATATTTGAACTGCGGATAAAGATGTGAATGAAAGTGATCCTTGCAGTAATGCACACTACTTGTCAATGGCAATGAGAAGTAGTGAAAAGAAGGCCTGAATTTTATTTCAGGCCTTATTTTCACTACTGCCTAAGTAGTGCACATCACTGCGAGGATCACTTTCATTCACGTCTTTATCCGCAGTTCAAATATATGACTTTCATATATTCTTAACCGTCTATTCATCACTTCACGGGTTTATTTAGAACCACCATCATGACCAGCTCCCAGTTGGCTTGTTAGCTCAGTTGGTAGAGCGCTGCACCGGTATCGCAGAGGTCATGGGTTCAAATCCCGTACAGGCCTGAATTTTTTTCAGGCGTTATTTTCACTACTGCCTAAGTAGTGCACATCACTGCGAGGATCACTTTCATTCGCGTTAGTTGATAAAACCAAACAATATGGTTTGTATTACATTCATTTAAAGATACCCAACATGGAAAACTCACTTGGTTCATTTGGGTACGAAACGACTGTATATAAAACGATAGGTAACCTTCTGAGGCTGCATTCTGAATGAGGGTCTCACTGTTTATAGCCTCCAATGTCTCACTTCACCTTGATTTATCTTGTTTATACTAGTTCCCAGCCTTGCGCCTCCAGTAGTTATGGCCCACAGCACGAGCTACACAAGCGTAACAGTAAAATGGATGGCTATTCCAGAGGAAAACACCAATGGAATTATAATGGGTCATGTTGTTGTAGTTGAGGAAATCGATAAATCTTTCTATGTCTGCAAAAATAATTTTACCCAGGAGATCCATGGACTGGAGAAATCTAAGGTTTATAAAATCAAAGTGGCAAGCTTTACATCAAAGGGCTTCAGTAACTTCAGTGATTACGTCACAGTGATTACTAGCGAGGATGGTAGGTTATTACGCTGGCAAAGAACAACTCCATGATGTCTTTACTATCTCTCTTAACAGTACACTTGGAGAACTACCGCAATGAGTGCATTTCAATCAAACCAAACTATCGGGCTTTCCCATTTTCTTTAACGCAGCACTTCACTCGTAATAGTAATACCACAAAAGTAACGGTCAGCTCTACCAGGAACTAGTTTTATCATTCTTATAATCTAGCCAACCCTTTTGAACACGTACTTGTTCTAAACAAGCACTTGTTCAAGAGGATTTGCAAACTTAAGATTTAAGCGTTTTGTAACGTGTTGTGATGGTTTCAGATGCACATGACTTAGAGCTGCACCAAAGTTTCCCGCCCTTTCTTTTTTGTTCCTTATGCATTACGTAACGGCTTGCAAATGAGACCGTAATCTTGTCCCGCCGCGGAACCATGCCCGCGCTTTGGCCTAACGATTGCCCAACGAAAATGAATCTTCCCAGTTTTTTTATCACTATCTTTCATAGGTTTCTTGGCTGCCTCTCTCTCTCTCTCTCTATTTACTCTATGTTAGGGAAATATTAAATTTTTGATCTGTTTTGACCTGATCTCTTCTGATAGATTGTCACGCCATTGGCATGGAAGACCATAACATAACAGAGTCACAAATAACTGCATCCTCTCTACAAAATGGTGCAACCAACGCTCGACTGAATTTCAAACCAACGAATCTACTCGCCACTGGAGCCTGGTGTGCTGCCCCGGATGATACAAGCCAACCGTGGCTTCAAATTGACTTTCAAGACAAAGTTACTTTAAGCCAAGTAGCCATTCAAGGCAGATTTTATGATGGCAGCGCAGTTAGTAGCAGTTTCTTTCACTGGGTGGAAAAGTACTCATTGAATTACAGCCTCGATGGGATGTATTTCAAAGCTTATAAACAGTTTGATGATGTTAAGGTATCATCGTTGCTTATAAGTAATATTTTGTTATTTCTCTCCTTACTTTTTGAAGTACAAGTCTCTTGTTACCCAAATTGTAAGCTATTTCAAAATATGCACTCCTAGTTTTTCTTCAGTGAGGATTCTTTGAAGTTCGAAATATTCGAAACTTGACTGAACCCTCTGCATGGACCACAGTTCATTGCAACCCTAGGTTAAATACAAATATCTTATTGGACGTTTGGGTGTGTAGTATCGCTGAGTATTTTTATGGGTTGTGCCATACTTTGACGATGGTTTCGTCCAGGAAAGTGCTATTATAAAACCCCAGACCTATTCTAAAGGTCACTCTTTGGATACTATGTTGTCTTCTTGGAAACGAAAAAATCTTCCGCAAAAACACGTCCACAGTTCGTTCCTGATATGTTGTTCATGAAAAATCTCTCTCGTTTACGTCTCCACAGCTCATTCTCAGACAGTCTTCATGTTCTTGGAAGTGCGTTCCCCTTAAAGAGGCACGTTTAGGGGATCCACTTCCATTCACATTAACAAATTTCCACCGTTCTGTCCCTCCGCAGATATTTCAAGGTAACTGGGATAGCAACACCGTAGTTTTTAACTCCATAACACCAGTGATCTACACGCGGTATATTCGTATTCTGCCAAAATCGTGGGAAGGGAACCCATGCATAAGAGCTGAGTTCTTTACCTGTCATAAAGGTAACTTGATTAAATTCATCATTATCACTTTGTAGAATAGAATTTGATACATTGTAATCAGTTAATTTTTTCATCGAATTTCGTTCCCAATATTTTCCTGTGGAGTAATCACTCCAAGGGCATAGCATTGGCTCGACAAAAAAGCCTGTCCACAAACCAGGTACATAAACAGAGGCGCTGAGAGCTTAGGGTGCAAAAGGAAGTGACAGTTACACTTCTGCTCTTTGGAGTAAAGATGACGTGTTACTGTAACCGTGATTTTTTAGGGAACAAGATCAGATATGGCACAATTAAGGTATAAAACAACAGAAATTATAATCATTCTCAGAGGAAATCAACAACAATACTGAAATCATGTTCAGGCGACTCCGTTTCACAAAAATTATCTGTATGGGAGAACTACGAAGCAGGTAAAATAACCTTATTGACTAATAAGCGTGAGTAGCAAGCAAAGAGTAAAGGAAAATGCGAAAAAAACCTTCTGTCTTTGAAACTTTGTGCCTACAAGAATTCCTTGCAATTTTGTCTTTCACTAAAAACTTGTGATTTGACTTCCACTAGAAATCACGTTAGAAAAAGTTAATATAACGTCCTCTGTTGCGAGCTCAACTGGTGTCGGTCTCCAATGGAAGCCACCGGATACGCTAAAGTTGGGTGAACATGTAAAGAGTTATGTGATAGAAATAGTTGATTTGCTGAGAGGAGAAAGCTTTAACTACACGGTTAACTCGTCCATGACAAGTGCAGACCTGAACATTTTGAAACCATACACGCCCTATGAATTCAAAGTTTATGGTGTCACAAGTTCATGGGAAGGAAATATCACTGATGTTATCAACATAAAAACACAAGAAGACGGTAGGTTGAGATGAATAACATATCTTAAGGCTTAAGCGGAGGTGGGATTGGATCGAGGCCTCTTAAAACTCCCTGAGCATGAAATGATAAGGAAGAACTGCTAGACTAGAACTGCTAAGCGTTGTGCACGTCCATCGCCGGTAACTCTCATCATTTCGTCTGATCACTATTATTTCTTACTCAAGTGCCAGCTGGTATATTCACCGAGAGTTGGACTGTTTATCTGAACATTTATTTCATTGGTTTATCGATGCTCAACAAGAGACGACGAACAGTCCATTAGGCTCACGCTCAACCAGCCACTCGTCCGTTCTGTCTTTCATGATCGAGTTGATACAGGAGTAAAACATCTTCTAAGTTTTATTTCATTGAAGAGTAGCGGAAAATTAAAGTTCCACTCTGGGTCAGTTAATTCAATGAACAAATTTTTTGTTCTTGTGTACGTTGTTTATCAACAGTTTAATAAACCCTGAGAGTGACTCTATACCAGATAATTTTTAATATTTCTATTTTCATCTTTACTCAATGCTTGTGTAAACTCAACAGCTCCCAGCGAACCTCCGAGGAACTTTAGTATTAAACACAGCACTGAGTCGGAATTAACCTTCCAGCTGAAACCAGTCGACAAGTACCATATCAATGGTGTACTTCGGGGGTACAAAGTCACCTATGGTAAAAGCAATTCTCCAAATCACACCTGGACGACCTTGCTTATCAACGCTACTCACAACAGGCGCAGGAAAAGAAGTACTGAGAACGAAACATTGGGCTTCATTCTCACCAACTTAGAAAGTTACTCAACTTACACAGTCACGGTGTTGGCATTCACTGTAAAAGATGGCGTCCCAACTTTGGCAGCAAATTTTACCACAGCACAAGATGGTATGACACCATTGCATCTGAAAACGAATGAATCTTGAACGAAGTTTACGGACTATGTGGTGTGGTATTAGGGTTGTGATAAGTCTGACTCATACATGTTTTTCTAAAACAAGCTATGTTTTCAAAAGGTTATTCAACCTATGACCAAACCTCTACCACCTACCCGCACCTTGATATATCATGACTGACTGTGTTAGATTAGATAAGATCGTTTCTCAATTACCATACGACATATCATCATAAATAACCGCTGAAACTTCAGGAAAACTGACAATCGATGTTTGCATTCGAGGAATTTCCACTGAATTAAATTCTCATAGGGGAGTGGTATTTGTCACACTTATACGAACAAATGTAAGAGAAGTAAGTCGAGTAAGATCACTTTTCGTCATTTCGTTGGTTTTTTTCTTTGCCTCAATGGTGCTGATTAGAACCATTTCTGGAAGCAATTTACTATGGAATAAAATGTTTTAGGTTACATATTGAACTACAAGGAATGGAATACTATCTACCTGTGTGTTCATTGTAAGTGACGGTAATCATTCCTTTCTACGCTTTAAGTACCAGATCATCCGCCAACAAACGTGACCGCGTTCAATACCAGTTCCACGAGTATTAACGTCACCTGGCAGCCCATCCCTCCAGATCATACGCATGGGATTATCCTGACGTATCAAGTTAAATACTGGAGACGTGATAAACCAAATGATAACGTTTCCAATGTCACAGTAAACAGTACAGAACTACAAGTGAAACTGAAAGGATTGGGAAAGTACAAAGAATATTCAATTCAAGTCGCTGGATCAACGGTGGTTGGTTTGGGGAATTACTCGGAAGCTGTTTTTGTGCGAACTGAACAAGACGGTATGTAACCCATTTGTCAGTAGGCAACAATTTGTTCATGTGCTTACTCATCTTATTAGCTTTTTCTTGAATTGTGGTAATAAATTCCATTATCAAGGAAATAGCTTTTCAATATAAATTTTTCAGTAGACTTTTAGAAGGACAAGTACCATAGTGCCATCCCAGAACTTAAACCATCGCTCAAACTCACTTTACGTATAACAATCTGAATTTTTCTCCAAACCAGTTTTTTCTTGTTACCGCAGTCCCAGATGAGCCGCCAGTCAACATCAGAGCAAAAGGAATAGAACCCACTTCATTAAAAGTCCATTGGTCTCCTGTGCCTTACGAAACCGTTAATGGAATTGGCATCGGTTACAAGCTCATCCTTATCCACATAAATGGAACCATTCTAAGAAATTTCACATTAAATACCTCAGCCCTCACGATAGACATCACCGATTTAGAAATATGGACGAATTACACCATAAAGATGACAGCTTTCACTGTCATGGGAGATGGCCCTTGGAGTGATTTTATAAAAGAAGATACAGATGAAGAAGGTAAACCAGCAGCTCATCATTTAAATCAGGCTTAAATGCGTCACTTAAGCATACCCCCTAAAAATAGCCATATCTCGCTATTTAAGAAATTGAAATGCATGCTTACTAAGAATTTCCTTACCAAAGTTCTAAGGTATATTCAACAGCAGAGCGTTGGGCTTCATTCTCAATTACACGATATTTCCTAGTGGCGTTTGTGGGTAAAACCACGCTTAAAGATACTGTTCAGTCGAGCGAGCAAAAGGAAATAATTCTTAAATCTTCTTTCACAGCTCCATTCAAACCTCCAGCTAATTTGACAGGAGAAGCAAAAAGTTCGACATCAATCTTTGTTCAGTGGAGTTCACTTGTTCTACCAAATCTTCGGGGTATTCTCCGAGGTTACACGGTTTATTACAAAGAAGCGCCAAGCTCTGTTCATCCAAGTGTGTTAAAAAACGTGTCAGTTGACATATCTGTGACTGAAGTTGAGCTAACCGGCTTATACAAGTTTACTAAGTATCAAATTTGGGCAACAGCGTTTACGACCAGAGACGGGTTGCCGAGTAACTCTTTATTTGTAACAACACAAGAGGACAGTAAGTTTTTCTTCTTCAAACTGTCTTTTTTAAGCATGCATTGCTGACAAGTTTCTTCCTTCAAATTCAACTCAAGCACTAACTTGTCGATGTCTCGTCATCAACAGCTCCGGACCGACCTCCTCTATACATCACATACTCGGCTCCAAGCTCCACCAGTCTCTTTGTTGAATGGGGTGCAATCCCTCCGCAGTTTGAAAATGGCATCATAAGGGGGTTCAAAATTCAATTCCATGAGATTCCATTCAATGGCACAGTGGAAGAGAGGGAAGGCCAACCACTTCTCCGCTGGATGATTCTTGATAATTTAAAGAAATTTACTTTCTACTCTATTCAAGTTCGTGCCTTCACAACTGAGGGATATGGACCTGAAAACAGTCTTAAAGCACGAACGGGTCAAGACGGTATGTTCCTTTCGTATGACGTTATTGATTGTAAAAACTGGGAATCATACAAGATTCTTGATGGCAGGTTATTTTCATATTATGTATATTATATGGTTCTGACTGGGATTTTATACTCAAAAAAATGATAGCAATTTTTTTTCCTTTTGGTCCTCTACTGACAACCGTTAAAAATGCTGCTTTCCAGTCCCTAGTAAACCTCCACAGAGTATAACTACTGAAAGTCATGTAACATTGACAACCATTCCAGTTGCCTGGAAACCAATCGTTCCAGATCATATCAATGGCATATTGCTTGGTTACAAGATTAGGTACCAGGCCGTTGAGATTGGCGAGGAGTCAGTTGAAGACAAACCTATCAGGGAGCAGATAGTGAATTCCTCTACTTTGTCTCTGGTGCTGACAAATCTTGAGATTTTTATCTTGTACCGGATTGATGTTGTGGGATTTACGATCATGGGCGACGGCCCGCCGGCCACGGATTACGCAGGTTTGTCACGTTCTCGACGAAATGGTGATAATATGTGATAATATCTCTTATTTCAAAAATTACAATTATTTACAGAAACCTGTCGCTGTCATAAGCGTCTCACAACAAGTTGGCACGAATTTCAACCATATGTCCGATTGTCCGAAAACGGCCTCCCAGACGGACTTATTCCACCTATCCTTAGCGATCTAGCAGTCACGTGCTGCGAAACCTGTCAATCACATGGTAAATCTTACGTGGACATGAATTTAAATGGGTTCAATGTGTCAGCAATGTTCCCGAGTCTACGTGCACTACGGAGCGGTATAGAAAATCCCACAGACTTTTTCTTTCCGGTGTACGGCTTTAAAGACCAGACACATTTTGCCAAACAGTTTGGTTACCAAGGAATAGTTGAATCACCTGGAATGGCGTTCATAGTTAACACAAACTCCCAGGATAATATGCCCAATGCTGTCCTGGTAAACATAGCGTCCTGTTGGCCAGCGGTGATGTTAGCTTTGGTTATCACGTACTTGGCAGGGCTGGTCGTATGGTTTGTGGTAAGTCTATCATTTGGTTTCACTGCATAACGAGTGAGGATTGCACAATATTGAGAGCTACCAAGACAGTCTGTGAGGTTAATTCCTGGTCAAAGATCATGATTTTTGTCGTCAAAAGATCCGAAGTCCATCGCAAAATTGGCATTAGCAAGTTATAGCTTGTTCCAATGCAATTTCAATAAGGTACCCAACGACCGAACACAAAACCATTGATAATTTGGTAACTCTTGGTTTCTGAATTTGCACAGTGCAAAGCTTTAATCAGTGTTCCACTGTCTCCATACGTCGCATTTCTTCCGCCTCGATTAGCTGCACATTTTGGCGGGAATGTACTACTATATATGTCTTCCAATTGCTGAGGAATAAAAATTTGTTGTTGCCTTTTATTGTCATTGTTGTTGACAGACTTGATCAACAACGAATCGTTAGAAAGGGAAATACAGGATCACTTTGATTTAACTCATTTTCCTTCCTTTCATGTGTGCAGGAGTCGGAGACCAATCCCCAAGACTTTCCACCATCGTTTATAGAGGGAGCGTATGAGTCGTTTTACTGGTCATTTGTATCCATGACAACTGTTGGGTGAGTCTCAATCAAGTTATCTTTAGACTAAAATCGAGACTTGAGTCAATCCTTAAGGTCAATATCGATCTAGAAATTGAATGAAGTCTCCTTCTAGGTCGTAAGTGGTGGTGGACCCTTACTCCGTGAGTGTCTCAAGTCATATACTCACTGTGAAGTTTGGGATAGGACATGATCTAAAGGCCTACAAAATTATACCTTCTCTGACACGAGTTTGTAAATCGACATTCACAGATACGGCGATCGAGCACCAATAACCATCATAGGAAGAATCCTGGCTATAGTTGTCATTTTGTCCGGTTTAATAATCTTTGGAATTGTGAATGGCGCCATGGCAACAGCCATTACAAGTGTTACAATGGAAACAGATTACAAAATCTACGGAACTAAGGTAAAATAGAGATGGAGAAAACGAGTTTGATTTCGAAATGGCCACGCAGTTGCTCTTTTTACAGTTTCACGTTTGGGTAACAGGTCTAACTTTCGAAAAATTAGGTCTATGCTGTTGGTATCTGTCTGAGATGGAACACACAAAGATGTGCTTATTTTCTTATTTTCTCAGCAAATCAAAAACATCGCGCTGTATCATAACTAGGTAATTTCAATTCAATACCAACCTGATTATTCCGTGTAAAGAGAAGTGTACATTGTTCCAACTGCTCCTGGCCTTGTACGATATTACGCTAGTAAGTTAATCCATGCTTAATCTTGCGTCAACTGAGATCCTTCCCATCCACTGCCTGTTTGGAAAAACGATTTTGCTCAGTAAACTCATTATTACGTCCCTGCCACGAAAGCGCTATTTTTTATCCTACTGAGCAGAAAAAGTATATGAGATGGGGAAAATGGAAAATCATAAAAGCAGATCACGTGGTACAAAGGTAGCATTTGGGTCCTCGCAAATGGAGAGACATGACTCTTCTACTAATGTAAGAGTTTATCCCACAGACTTGTCCCATACTATCATCAGTTATTAAAACATGGGAACAAAATAGTGTCGTTTTAAAAAATTAAACCAATTGAAGTTAGCGCAATCTACTTCTCCAAAGATTCCAATGATCAGCACCACCGGGAGGGTGTGCATGAGTTTAATCTGTATTCGCCCCTTGTTTTTGTCCATGTAGAAGAAATTAGTTTAAATTTCTAAACGCTCATCTGTAAACAGTGACAGTTAGGAACTTCTAAGTACAAAATGTTACAAGGCTTCCATATTACATTTTACTTTCGCAGGTAGCAGCAATTGAGGGTTCTCCTGAATATCGAATGGGAGTAAGGAAAAATGCTAACATGGACAAAGGTAACACTTCCTAAAACAATCGACGATATTTACCGTTGGAAGAAGCAATGGGTGGTAGAATTGGTAGGGCTATCAGCAGCAGTTTATAAAAAGCCTAAAAAGCACCGCAAAGAGTATCATTGACAAAGATATGTTTTAATTAACAAATAGAGAAGCCTTGACTGTGCTCTGTTCTGTTATAAAGCACGCAGGAAACGTCACGTGTTTCTCCCTACACTTCTTTCGTGCTCTAGCCGCTTCCTGCGTGCTTTATAACAGAACAGAGCACAGTCAAGGCTTCTCTATTTGTTTTATAATAAAGAATCCGTTAAATTCCCCAAACATTACTTTGAATTTTCAAAACAAACTTTATTTCCAAAGCGAACAGTGTCGTCAGCATGCTCTATACTCTCATGAAGCACGCTACAATAAGCCAATCAGAATCCCTGTTAGAATGGTTCAAATAATCTGATTGGCAGTACAAGACTAAAGCTGTCAAAAGTGTCAAACCATCAAAGTTCACATTCTGCGATAGTTTACAAACACGAAGTTTTTAAGTCTCTGATACAGAATCTTGAAGTTAAATGTTCACATGACAAGGTAGAAAACAAACTATTCGAGGCGAGTGTTTTTTGAATGAACGACAGCCGAATGACAGCACCACAAAACTCGGCTGCAGTGACTGATGTGACTTTCCACACAATGTATCGGAAAGGATATCAGAGCAAGCTCTTATTTTTTCACTCGAAGGGTGGCCGATGTAGTTTCTGAGCTTGCTTTACTGCGATGACCGGAGATCGCCATGATGAGCGAGCCGCGATGGACTTCAGCATGATCATATTCGCTCTGACACCGTTGTGATTAGTATGAATGTTAACAGTTGTGCCAGTTTGGTTATATTTTTCATCATTTCTGTTTTGTTCTGTTTTGTTTTTGAACACTGAACTTTATATACTATACGAGTGCTAACTGTGTTTGATTTTTGTTACCGTACGTAAGCTTGCAATCTAACTGAGCGTGAAAATCTTTAAAACTTGGAATATCTATTTTTTTTTTCCTTCGAGGATTTTCGTATCTGCTCACGTTTTAATAACGTAAATTACGGCGCCTGGTATGTTTACAAAACTTTGTTTGGCTCTTCTGTTGCTACTTGCTGGCTCGCTTGTTCCGAAATTTCGCTTTCAATTATCGAAAAAAAGCCAAAAAGAAGTCCCGGAAAAGGTCGAACATAGTACAATTTGGCAGATGGCGTGACAGCCTTAGCTCGTCTCTATGCTCTATACTCTCATAGAGCACGCTCTTTCAACCAATGACAGCGCGCGTTATATCCGAACTTTATTATAAATTTGGGTATCACAAAGTATCCTCATGATTAAGATTCCATCAAAGAGAATGCTATTCAGTGAAATAAGAGGTTTATGAGAATCTAGCGTGAGGAATGAAACGATATGACGTATGCACTAGAAATCAATGCGTTTAATTCTCCGCATAAGCAAAGGGGTAAAGTTTAAAGAAGTGCTGGGCTTTTTTCTCCAGAACGCGAATACCACACGTTCGACGATATCTACGAAGCCCTACATGAACGACACGTTATTGGGGCCTTAATAGATACATACAGTGCTGGAAACAACAAGGATTTGTTTGAACAGGAACATCTACGAGTGAATAAGATCCTGGATTACTCGGCTACCTATGGGGTTGTAATGGGAGTGGAAGCCCGAAAACTCAGACGCTGTTTCAAACGGTACACTGAAAGGATATTCGCTAGTAAGATTTCACATCATATTCAAAAGAATACAGAACAGCTCAAGGCGAGTATCAAATAAAAACATTGATATTTGGTAGAATGATATTGTTGTAGAGGAATTATTTGGATGTCATTTATATCAAAAATTGATTGAATGACTGACAGACTAAAAGATTGACTGACTGGCCAACAAACTGAGACTGACACTAACTGACCAACTTACTGACTGACGCCAACTGACCGACTGACTGACGCCAACTGACCGACTGACTGACTGACTGACCGAAAATCAGAGAGACCAACTGACCAACTAAACCAAACTAATCTGTTATGCCCCCAACGACGCAGCACCACAGTTTCTTTAGAGACTTAACCCCTGTATAACTGACTGACTGATTGGCTACGACTGACTGACTGATTGACTGACTGACTGACCGTCTGAGACCAACTGACCAACTGACTGACTGACCGAAAACATGAGAGAACAGTTGACCAACTAAACCAAACTATCTCGTTATACCCCCAACGACGCAGCACAACTATTTTCTTAGAGACGTAACCCCTGTAAAACTGACTGACTGATTGGCTGACGACTGACTGACTGACTGACTAATAGTGGTTTGATTTTTCTCTTTTAGGAGCCCGCTGAACCGCTCTCCATGGAAAGATCAACCGGGATATTTGACAGTCACAGCACGGTGTTTCAAAAGACTATGTACATAACTATCATATGGTTAACATCGTTCCTGTTTTGTGGCATTATCTGGGAAATTATTCAACGCTGCAGAACAAGAGCAAAAGTTACATCACATGGTAATTACATACACCTTCGGATCTTTTGAATACTTTAAATTGTTTTTTACTGCCTAGATATTAACGTTTTCCTTTACGCCTTTGATAATTTGCTACCCGTTTCCAGCGTCACTAACCATCCTCGGCTATCCCGGTTACTCTATCTCTGTCTATCTTTAGCTTTCAGGTAAACTGTTACATTGGAAACACTACCATTATTCTTATTCTATTTAGATACACAATGCCTCTGACCTTACTGATCCTTGCAATATGCAGGACGCTTCTCATGTACTAAGCTAATAGTGCCCTACCACGCCAAAGAGTCCTCTGTCTCTCAGCGGTGCAGCAGTGGGCCGGGAGATCCTGAGGACTAAGGGAAAAGGACTCAAATTGTTTTCTATGCGCCTTGCTCATGGAAAAACACAAAACAACTTTACTTTACACTTTCATATAACTTTACTTTACTTTACAACTTTGCTTTAAAATTTGGAAGTTTCACATACTTAGAAATGCCTCGGATATTTTAAAGTGTTCTGTATTTCTTCCTATCCATCTCATTTCTCCCTGATTTATCTCATCTTATCAAAATTGTTCGAAAATGTAATAGAGGGAAGATTTCCGCGTTGACTACCATTTTCTGTACGTGTTCTCCCTATTTTGTTTTAGATTCACGACAAGAGCTAAGGACCGAGTTGAAAGGAATGGTCGAAAGTTTTAATGAAAACATTCGAACAATTAAAAAAGAACTGGCATCACGACATACAAGAGAAAGAAAAGAACTCCTGACAAGTATAGAGAAGCAGCGAGGCAGGAAATATCTTTCGTCAGTTGAACTTTCAGAGCTGGACAACCCTTACTTTGAACCAGAACCTGACGAACAGGTATCACCCAAGGATAAACTTGATGAGTTGGTGTTTTCCAACGATACACCAGACAAAGCGGAACTTTGCTGCGATGAACGTAACGAGGAGCATTTGCCAAGCAATAAATATCAAACCAATTGCTGATTTACTCAACTCTTTGACTCCCAGAGTGGAGTAATCTTGCGAAACAAGTTTTATTTTTCTGGACAAGCCGGTTTTTTAATGCTTTATCTTGAGTGATACACGCGAGACTTGGCCATCAAACTAAAAAAATAACTTTGGGGGTTTAAGGTTGGAGAAATAAATTTAGAATCAAGCTCAGGATGCTTGCCCATTTCAGTGACGACTCCCGAGCCTTTCTTTTAAGAGCTGTATCATATTGCTATCCTTTAAAGCAGATCTTTAATTGGCCAGCAAGGAAGCTGGCAAATAGAGCAAGTATGCATTCTCGTCTTTGCACCTTCGGCAAAACAACCCTTACAAATAAAATGCTCGGGTTTGAACTGCATAAATTAAAAATAATTAATTCATTTGCCTCGGAAATGGAAGTGACTTGCAGGTATTTTACTCGTAATTTTATATTTATTTATGAGCCCTCAGTTGATACAGGATGGAAATAATTTTCTTCTTCGCTGTCACTCAACCTCGCTAACATAACATCAATACTACTGAGAATGCTCTGTTTACCTCTAAATTCTCATTGAACTGACTTAGATATAACCTCAAGATAATTCTGTTATTGGAAAAATGAATCACTGAGTAGCAGTTTTCTTTTGTCATTATTTTCTTGCATGGTCTACAAATCACACAAACAAAAACAAAAGGTTCAAAAGAAGGAATGGGCTACGTCAGCAACAAGAATAAACAGCGACAGTCGAAATGCATGCATTGGGCTTTCAAGACTGGTATGACAGTGGCACAAGTGAAAATTTCGCTGACACAACTTGACTGATGGTCAAAACGAGGCAAAACATGTCTCCTCAGCAAACGCCCAGGGTTGCATGACAAGCTAAAAACAAAGCAATGAAAAGCAAAAATCAAAACAATCCCGTAAATCCTTCACAGAGCACATTATACAACTGCATTATGTAAAGCCGTTGAAAATCTCGTTGTCACAAAATTTTCTAACCAGCCGCTTAAGTACTTTATCCTTAGGAAATCCTCACACGGAAACTTTCGTGTTGGGGAACGTCTTTCGTGAAAGGCATCATACAAAATAAAGGAAAATCATATTAAGAGTTGCTAAATTCGACACCTTAAAATTGGGTTGTTGATTGTTTTAAATTAATAGTTTGCGTGATGTAGCTTCCATTAGGTACGAAAGATATGCCCTTTTGCAAAAGCATTTTAATAACTTTATTCCAAAGAGCACAATGCATAACGCAACGCAAACTATGTTACCATGTTTACCGGCTTTTTGGAACATTTGAATTTGGCTAAGTGCCACAAATAAGGCGCTTTTAAGCGTTTTTTTTTTCAATTGAAGGGAAATTCACATTCGAAAAAAACTTCAAAATGGGTTTGTCAAATAATACTTCAATCTTCAAGTAAGAAAGGGATTAAAAAAGCAAGTGGGTGGCAAGCTGGCTAAATGGATGTCAACCGTGACAAATAGTCCATTTACAGGTTCTTAGAAATAAAAATTCGAAAAAAAAAAACTTAATTGTATGGTCGGCTGAGATATTTTACTCCTAGGCTTACTTAGCACAAGTACGAAATATCCAAGCCAACGGATTCATTTGCTTTCAAAAACGGGTCTACTTGACCTCTTGAAGACCCCACATATTGATAAGGTTTATTGAAGACTTCAGTTAGGCAGCGACATAAAACATTTAAGAAAGTCACGATATACGAGTTTTCAGAACTAAGACATTGGCAAATCTAAATTGTAAAATATCATTAAGGCAAGATACATAGATTAGGTAAGACAGTATCCGTTGAGAAGAAAAAGGTGTTAACAAAAGAAAAAATAAACGTGAGTCCATGGAGGATTGCAAGCTGAGCCATTACAATTTCGCTGTCGGATGCTTTTTGGAATTGTTCGTGAAACATGATAGAAACTGTGATAACACGTTAGGAAACAACAGAGAAGTAACCGCTTTTGAAGGTTAAAAAACCTTGCAGCATTTAGGCAAAAACACCTGCGGAGCATGATACCATCGCGAGGCGTGTTATGCAACCTATCAATATCGTAACATCAATATGAACAGGGCGGACTGCAAAAAGACCTAATATCTTAATGAAACAATGGCTTTGGAAACTGTGAAATCCTTACAGATGTCGGAAAAGGGACAATGGAAATGTCACTTTGGACGCGTATTTTGTATAAATTACACAACCAATTAGAACGAGAACGAACCAATTACTCCGTAAGCTGTCAGTTAGAAATAGTTAATTCTCAACACATCTTGGAACAATGCGACACCAACCAAAAAAAAAATAGAAAAACAGCTGGACATAGCGACGAAAAGAGATTAAAAGAATTTTATCTTTTAATAACGTGAAGCAGTCTAAACCATGGAAATTTTATACTAGATATAGTGAATTTTTTGCGTATCTCAAAACCATGCAAAGCCAGTAGCTTTCACGATATCCTACAAGAGTAGGAAAACAGAAGAGTATAACGTTACTGGGAGGTTATTAGACTATATATCATTTGCATATAACTCTTGGGATTCTGTGCTACAGTTATTTCGTCCTATGGAAAACAGCAGTGCTTGTCACATTTAGTAAGAAGTAACTAATTCCTAGTTAGATTTCGTCAAAAAATTCGTGTGATGGATCCTGCTAAATTTCCAAAACAAATTCTCTGGGTCGTTGAAGAAATAAGTTTTAAAGAGCAAACGTTTCTCCCATAATAAGCGTATGTTTGCTTTACATGTTTTGCATGTAGTAATATTCTCGTTTTCCAGTGATGAATTCATGTCCGTTTTCTCACTTTTAATTTGCCGGCTGAGGGTTAAACTTCGGGCTCGGAAAACATCAAAGACGCTTCTTGTTAAGTCCCAAAGCTTTTTAACGCACAAAATCCTCAGCTACGTGAAAGCCAAGACTTTAAATATAATATATAAGCCCTGGGCTATAAATTCGCCAGATGTATTATTATTGACTCAGAATTGTTATGTCTTCCCTTAATCCACGGTGAGAGGCCCACAACTGAAACACTAAATGCGTGCCCGCGGTTTTATCGTATCTCTATTTTGGGTCATAAAAGATTCAGTGGGCACACACGCCTAGACAATGCAAGTACATGCAAGCCAAGAAAAGTATAACAAAATCCCAAAATTGTGCTTAAATATTTCTATATTCAAGCATTAAAATACCAATACAACTTGCCACAATTGGGTATAGGTCATTACCTATCGGTTTTCCCAGGTTTTTTTTCTCTTTTGTTTTTCCTACCGATGATATGAAATATATTTTAGAGCGATGAAAGTTACCTTGCGACTCACACTAAAACGCCATTTCAAATCGGTGTTTTGAAGCCGAAACAATTTTCTTACTGTTAATGTGTATAGTAATTATAAAACCTAAGCTACATTTTCATAATATCAAACTAAAGTAAAAAGGGGGGACGGTACTGTTCATTATTGAACTAAAGAAAAACGCAAAGATTAAAAAACTTCTGTGTTGTAAAGTTGAAAAAACTTTACTCAAAAAAATTTCAAATTGCTCTATCATCATTTTTTTAAAACTACATTAGCGTCAGTGTGGCAAAGTTATAGTTAAATTCTTGTCTCTTTCTATGCTATCTTCGAAGAAATAAGCAATTCATACAGAAATTTACGAATAAAAGTAGGATCATCCATGTTTAGAAACTGTTGGAATTCCTTCGAAGGAAATCACAGAAGACAACTGGTAAGGAAGACAGCAGGTGATAACAATAACAGAAAAAAAAAACCACCGGGAAAAAAGTAAGATGCGACGTTTTCCTTTGTAACAATTACAAGAAATGTGCGCTATAATTGAGGAGAATTTAAGAATGAATCTTGGAGAATATGAACGGTCTTCTTGGAATCTCATTTGACTAACTTAACAAAGATGTTTTACAACAAAGAAGAGGTGACAAAGCTGAGTTTGACGAACGAAAAATTGTCATCGAATTAATTTCTTGGTGAAAAATTTCAAGACAGTTTGCGCTTAAGATTCACAGGCAATCAGGCAAGGGTGTCCTGTTGCTTTCAATTGAAACAAATTTGTCACATTTTTAAGTCCTCACTATCAGTTTCGCTGCTGGTCTTGTTAACAGCTCGCAGTGACGAGGGGATAACATCGGCCAATTTTGTTGTTTCTCCTGAAGTGCGAAACATTTATTACGAAGTTTTAAGCTGCGAGAATGACTCGAAACGTGCCATCATAAGGTGTGATCTCATAAAAAAGTGCAAAGTGTATATCAGCTGCTGTGGTAGCTTAATGCATGTCAAGTTGAAAAAAAACAAGCTTTTCAAATGAATTCGAGATAACTTTTAGCCAACCTTCGTGATATTTTGGCGCCAAGCAAATGCTGGCGGCAAAGTTTTATTGATACCTGTTCTGTACACCTTTAATAACTCTTACCCAAGAGAAATAATTACGGTACAATCCAAACAGGGCAATTATGTTTTGGTAACACCTGATTGACGCCCGCTAGACAACAGGTCCTTTGCAAGTCGCCAACTATATTTTTTCCCTCCGTCTTTTATTTTCCCATAAGGTAAACGGAGATACAAATGCGGCCAAATGACATCTGGTCACAATTCCGTAGTTTAGAACTTACATGTGAATTTTTTTCACTTACATTTTGAATACAAATTACAGCCAAGAAGCCATACTCTAGTCGTAATTATGTCCACGTCACGTAGCAGACCCTGTCATTTTAAAAGGCAAACTCTTCATGTCAAACTTTAGGAGAGGACAGAATTTCGTCGCGAGTGACAGAAACCCGAAAGAGCTCTCAACAACTACTTCCTGGTTGCCGAGTAACTCTTGTCGTCGTCAAAAACTTGTCATGCAAACAAAATTAAATTCGCCAAAACCAAAACAGGGGCTGCACTAAAAATAGGACATCATGGAAACTTTAAGCGACGTGCTCTCGCAAGTCTTTGTAAAAATACAGGCATTGGGCTGTTTATCTTGTTATATTCCACATGAAAGATCACCGTGATGTACATGATTCTCCATGCTCGTAGTCATTTAAGTTACAACCGAGTGTTACCAGTATGCCGATTATGGTCGCGGTCCCACGTAAAGATCAAAACATCACTTTTAACTACTTGAGGTGAAAATTTGGCGTGGAATTATCGAGTACCAGAAAGACCTGGATACATTGAAATTTCATCAGCGCCAGTAATAGTTTTCAATTAGCAAGTTTTTGGAATATCAGATCGATGTTCACACTTTGCATAATTTGAAATTCGTTCAAAACATGTTTTTTTTGTGTGTTTCTAAAATCTCTATTTTAATGCATATACACCAAAAAGACGTCCAAGTGAGATCAATTAATGGTAATTTCAACTGAAAACATAAGTTATTAAGTGAAAAAACACGACCATCCTCCCTATTCTTAGGTTCAAAACATGAAGACATAAAGCCAGCGGGCAAAAGTGTCTGTTGAGCAACAGCCGCAAAGAGATCTAGTTAAAACTGTCTACAACGGCAGGAGACCTATTAGTAGTTTATAAATAGCGTCACTTGTTTCAAGGAAAGTTACGAGAGTCTTTTGTTTCTGCTGTATACTCCCTGATAGCGTCTTACACAAGACTACCGCAGCTAAATGTCCATGTAGTAGGCAGGTGTTCGATCGGCGAAGCTTGATTGACAACCGGACTAAGTTTCTCGAGCCTGATTGGCTTACCAAGGCAATTACTGCCAAATTTGATTTTATTTCAGCCAGGCGCCTTATCAAACAGTATTTTTGCTCGTAACATTCAAGCAGATACGATGCCAGAGATTCTCTGGAGTGAAAAGCTACCCGTGGCGCTAAATTGGACTAGCCATCGCAGAAGAGGCAGCGAATTGGTCGATGTTTGTTTATAGGGTCAACTTCTCCCGCCTACCGAACAGTATTTACACGAGGCATAAATATAATGTATCTTAAATCCACTCAAAATATGCCAGCTCTACAGGAATTACTGAGTTTCTCGACGGAGGCTTACTCTTAACGACGAACATCCTGTAAGAATCAGCTTCGAACGAATCCCACGTAGAGAGAGCATGCCGATTCGCCGCGGACGTTTTGCCCCACAGAACACTTTTCTAGAGACGATCGCACAGAAATTCGACCGAGGCAGTGAGTGACTAAATAATGTACAATTCTGTTATTGTTTAGCAGTACGCTATATTGTCATTCAGCTAAAAGCCAGCGTTGCAACTACAATTTAACGACAACTTAGAAATGCATTAAATTTAGTCCGGTCGCATCAGTTTTATAACTGGTGCTTATTGCCTGACCGATTATTAGTAATAACACTTGGTATTTCCTGCGTGTCCTTAGATAGTAACTTTGTCCTCGGTGGTGCGCAAGAAAAGAACAACTACCCTATAGTGTATTGCAGTGATGGCTTCTGTGAACTCACGGGCTTTTCGCGAAGCGAACTCATGAGGCGAAGTTGTGGTTGTAATTTTTTATACGGCTTGGAGACAAACCAGGACGACATAACGAGCATACAAAAAGCCTTTAAGGCGCAAGTGGAACTGAAGAAGGAGATTATGTTCTACAAAAAGAACGGTGAGCGTATTTTTCTTACTTTTATTATCGGTTCATAATAATCTTACGTCAACTATTCTGGCAGCATTCGACGTAACACTGAGGCGTTGTTAGACTAAGGCACTTAGTTTAATGAAAAAAGAATCGCGCGGTAATATTTGTGGACAATGCTCGGCGACACTATTTTACTCACTGACGAGTTAAACTTTCACTTTCTTTCATTTATCTTCTTGGACGGGCTCACGCAGAAAATGTATTTTTCTTCTGACTCTTTCTATCGGAAGTTGCAATTAAGTCTGGGCATTCAATGGCTATAATACCTTCAAACAACAAAAAACAACTTAGAAAAAATTTACATAAGGAGTTATAAGCACATTATTCGAACTGACGATTTCATCGCCAAAAACTCTAGCTGGCGAGATAAAGCTTAATCTGTTACAGGCATGTTTGAAGGCAAATCTCTCTGTCGTCCTCCGAGGACCGTTCAGTTCCATAAAACGCACGAAATATGTGGTCAAACGACAAACACAGTTCTAAAATTCTTCCTTCAACTGAGCACCAAACACAAGGTCATTAACATAAAAAATAAACCTAACCTTCTGTTTTGAATTTCGCTGACCAGAGGAATATTCTTAGTAAAATTAAACATATGCAACAAAGGATCATCCCCAATTCACCGTAAATTCATAAATTTCCTATAAAAGATTATAATTCTTGGCAAGAAAAAAACCTTTACCAAGTAACTATAATGATTGTCCAAGAAAAATCTGAAAATGATGTAATATATCGGTTTACAATTTACATGTATGGAAATGTTCCTGTGTTCATTTTTATTTCGCTTCTTTACAGATTTCCAATTATCGATTAGCAAAAACCCACAGAAAGGTCATAAATTTCAGATCATTTCCTCTGTCGAACAATACACTTTAGCGAAACTATGATGAACATATTCAAAGCATTTTTGAGAACGGCTGTAACACAATGGCGTTTAATACGTCAAGGGAAATAACTCGCATTTCTTGTAACTCTACCGAAATCAAAACACCTTTACCATTGACTCAATTGTGATAACAATTTCGTTCAACACATATTCCTTGCTTCGGTCGAAAATTAAAGCACTAAAAAAAATAACTCAATTTTCTGAGATGACGCGTCAACGAACAGCTAAAAGCCTAGAGTTTTATTTCGACGGAAAAAAACATTAATTCAAGTGAAATCCAAAACATGATTTGTCAACTCAAGGTCAGAGGCAGACTTTGCAAAACAATTGCACAGCAGTCTCTGAGTATCAGCCTAACAGCGCAGCACATTTTCCCGCAACACGTTGATTTGTTCAAACGGAATACAAAACCCTTGAGATCGAGCTGAAGCGAACTCAATTCAGCGCTCACGGAAAAGTCACGAACAGATATCAGCCAGATTTCATTTTTGTACGGGCACGCCAAAATTTCTTTATCTTTTCACCATGTGTTCTTCTAAAAAAAGTGACAATTTTCAACACGGATAACGATTCTGCACTGATCTTAGAAGCGCGACCCATAACGTATCATATCATAACATGTCCAGAGACATGACGGGCTGTTTGGTTTCTGAAGTCCTGTGTCAATATCGCACGAACAAAAGGGATCTGATGGTTATTCACCACTTCAACCAACAACCTTTGGTTAGAAATCGACGGATGATGTTAGACTCTAACGTAACTCCCCGCGAAGACGTCGAGATAACCCGTTGTAACGAAATACGAGATTTATTTCCGAGGCAATACCAGCAAGTTTGACGTAAAGAGATACAAGCCACCACTTAAACGGAGAGCTTTCTTTTTAATTTTCAATCGATCAATGACGATAGATGTTACTCACGAGCGGGAAATAAGTTCTTCGTCAGATATCGTAAAGTGAAACCGTCAAGGGGGCGATACGATGCTTATTTCCCGGACGATGTCGAACATCTGAGAGAAAACAACGAGTAAAGATGCGAACAAAGTTCAGGCTTCGCAAACAAGTAAATTGAACCAAATTTGTGTGCGTTTCTTCCTAATGAAGAACGAATATATTTTGGACAACATTACGCAGGTCGAGAAAAAAATTCAGACTGGCTCATCTACAACGAAAATGTTTGTAAAACGTTTAGCGCGTTGATGTCTAAAAGAAAACTGTTTTTTTTTTGTTTCTTTTTCCATATAATTTTTTCCATAACAATCTGTTCGTGCATGTTACGCTTTTCGTTGCCAACACGAGCCGTGCAAGTAAATGTGGATTTGACATTAAGCCCATTCGTTCAAATCAGTAATGATTCCCTCTGACTACTTTTGTATTTTAGGGGAATTTGTTTTCTAATTGTTTATCAAGGGTTGGTCTTTGGTTCGGCCTGGTTAGTTACACTAAGGAACCGACAACGCATTTATTGCTTTATGAATACCGAGAGCACTCCATGTAAAAAAAAAAACCTCAGGAATAATCAGATATCCAATACATTACTCAAAAGGAAATATTGAACGGATACCAGAACCAAAAAAATTTGACAATAAGCTGAATTGTACAAATTGTACACGCTAAGTTTTAAATAAAAAGTATCTCGAGTTTAATTTTCCTTGACGAAAGTCGCTGGTAAATCCATTTTGTTTCGTTGCATTATGTAGACTGATTGTTACATTGTAGTATCTAAGTTTGCTAATCAAACGGGAAATACATCACTTATGGTGAAGATTTAATTGTATCTGCCGACCGCGAACGAGAGATCCATGAGTGATGTAGATGTAAAAAAGGTCGCTTGTTAGCAAGGAAACCTAAAGCAAACAACGAAATGATTTTGCTGCGTTTAGTCAACAGATCTAGCAAAGAAACGCCCTCCACAAGCTTAGGTTTTACAACAGGCATATCAAAAATGACACTTCGTCATTAACAAGAAACGCCAGCGATCGCAAAAATAGTCTCGACGTCACTAAACCTATTCGGTTCTTTTTAATTCTTCCTGAAAAAATTTTAATTAATTTGAATTGTTTTCCCTACAGCCTTTATGCTTATTTCAATAACACGATAGAGCTGGCGTTTAAGTGCGAATTGCAATAAAAAAGGGACAGCCACTTTACCTAAAATATACACACACTTCCGCGAAAAATAAAGAGAAGGCAAATCTTTTGAAAACTGCGAATGGGCTGTACGAGAAACTTATTTCGGAGACTCATTTCATACTGACAGTTTGTGCAAATATCTGAACAAAACGCGGTTTCCCAAACGCAATTGTTGGCTTGTAAGGTATTTCAACATCCGTCTGTAAAAAAAGAATTTACATGTTTTCTTGAATTTATTTTCATGTCACGAATATTCTCAACGTAAAAAAAAAAAAAGCCTTCTTGATTTTTTTGGCCGAGAAGCGCAATATTTCAGCGAAATTATCACTTTGTGAATAAGAAATCGCTACGCTTAGTATGAGTCTTATACAAACAATTGAAGAGCTGAAATAAATCTGACTCCTTTGTGTTCTCCCTACCGATGTAATTACTGCTATGATTCCTTTTCAACGAACGACATCATATAAGCCGCTTACATTATATTGCGACCACTTAAAACTCTCTGTTAAAAGCCGTTAATAATGAAAAATAGCTGTATCATTATACAACGTGCTTTGCACTCAGTCGTCAGCCACAACACAACAACGCAGAGCTCTGTTTTATCATTCGTATTATTATTATTATTTCTGTAATGGTAATTTATTCGAGTATTCCGTTTCGCCTTTTCATTAGTGCGCGGAAGCAATTCGTTCTAGTATCGGAAACGCGTCGGCTAAAAGCGAGTACATTCTCCAATTTGCACCAGACGACAGTTGTCGCGCTTTGCGGTGAGAACATTTCAAACTGTAATTGCAAAAAATACGTGCGGTGGTTATATTTTTCTTTTGGTGTTAATACCCGTGTTTGTCCAGACTCAAGTAATTTACAGCGCCATGCAAAGAGAAGGAAAGATTTCTGTTGTGATAATGAAAATGAAATGGGTATAGCTTCTTACGACCCTGTGGGGGAAGCAATTATAAGTAAGCGATTACTCTGGCATTTTCCCAGAGATAAGTCTTTTTACAATTCACTGAAGAGTAAACTTTCGTAAACGAAGCCGAAGTAAGGGGATTTTCATGATTAAAAGTGAACATTTTCCAATTCGTCCTCTATTCGAGTGATAGCTCCAGCGAAAGAAAGGTAGAAGACCTTGTATATGAAAGACCCCAAAATCAAATTATTCTTCTGATTCAAAGCGGATGTATGAAAGCAATTCTTTTAGCAGAAATTTCCTTTTTCCTTTTTCCTACTGAGGAGAAAGATATCATCTACATTTTGAATTTTTGGACTTTTCACGAATCAGGAAGGTATGAAACTTGTGACTTTATCCTGGAACTGAGCGTAACACCGCCTACAAGACTAAAAAAAAAATTGAAAAACTTTGTTATGTGCGGTGAGCGGAAGAAACTGTTGTAAAAGAAGCCGAAGTAAAGGGATTTTCATGTTTCAAAGTGAATATTTTCCAATTTCTCCTCTATTTACAGTGATAACTCGAAAGATAAAAGACCGTTTCTACGAAAGACCCCAAAATCAAATCATTCTTCTGATTCAGAGCGAAATTTAGTAGAAATTTCCTTTTTGCTTCCTTACAAATGATGGCTTCCAAAACACGAATATGAAATAAAAGGAAAAACCAATTTGAACGATGACAAAGCAAATATTCCATATCTTTTACGAATCGAAAGTATTTAGCATATTCTTTTCGCAAAATTAGAGGTAGCTTTTGTTTCCAAGCTTCATCCTAATGATAGCTAGCAAGCACAACAAAACATGAGGTGCCAATTCCTTTTAGCAGCTCCGTCCGTAGTAACAGAATGATACCGAAATTAGTTAAAACTAATCTGGCTGACAATCGCAATACTTCTAAACCAAGGCATGAGCCTATAAATAAGTATCATTTGACAGATTTCTATTTGTTTTTAATTCAGAAAAACCGTAGAGTACATCACAAATTTATAAACCGTTAGGGGGGTAGTAGCTAAGAGGAAAAGCAAAGCAAATTGGAACAAATAAAAACAGAGAACATCTCCAGAAAAAGCGATGTTCCAGATAAGAAGTTGAATTAAGTAGTTACTTTTTAAAATATCAGAATTTTCAGCACTTTCTCTCCGCTCTCGTAATTTAAAACTTATCCCTGGCATTTTGTAAACAAATTCACAATGCATTAAAACAAAAAGGAAGAAATCAAAATAGCCTTAGGGAACAAATGTCGGAGCCATTTTTGGGCAGCTTGCATATGTATAACGTTAAAGATTCATAAAGCCTGAACGTTTTTTTCCCGTTGTTTCTCTGTAACATCCCACTCATTTATGTCGCCGGTAAGTTATTTGCAAGATAACGTCAAAAGATATTTAAATTAACTTTTGTGATAAAGTACTGGTTGCTTGGCACATTCAGTGTAAACTGACGACAACTACTCTCTTTAATTGTCAGTTCTGATGCGACGATACGCAGCAACGTGGGAGCTTTAAAGGAAATTTGAATTTCTACATTCTTCTTATAACAGCCGTCACATCTTAACGCTATATTCTCTTCTTCTTTTACTTCGCGGCCTTTTTCAGTGAGATTGCGTAATAAACTCAAAACAGAACCTCTCATTACTGCATCAGTGAATAAGAACGAAATGGTTTTCTTCTAATTCATACAACAGTAATTTAAAATCAGTATGGCACAGTGCCTAAAACAATGCGATCGTTATCGACCTGTTCACATGCCCATGAGTATATTTTGATTGCTAGAAGATATCGTAATTATTAACGGTCAAGAACAAAAATCTCTCAAAAGCAAAAGTAATAGATGGTTAGTCGGCGGGGGGGTTTAGCTGACATTAAAAACCAGACAATCAATCGACTTATTTTGAAAGAATGACCTACCAATTAATTATTCTTAAGCTACTGGAAATAATTTTTATTGCCAGAAGAAGAATGGAAAAAGAAACATTTATTGGTCAAAGCAAGCGGCGAGGTGCAGTAATTTCTTGCAATTAAATAATGCTAAAAATGGGTATGATGAAAACCATCACCCAAAATTTCATTCTCGCGCCTGTTAAGAAAATGTACAACGATAATCGACAACTGTACATTCAAATTTTTGATTGCAAAGAGAAAGCTTTTTCGCAATTTTTTTTTAATTTAACGTTGTTCAAACCTAAAGGCACAGACAGATATCTCCAACCCTGAACACGAAAGGTATTTTTCCCCTTATTTTTCTCTCACAAAAAAGAGGCTGGCTTTCAATTCTTAATTCTACTATGTCCTTTTCCAAAGATAAACATCTTTCACAGTATACTAAATCGCCTGCAGCCTCTTAATTCTTTTTAATTCCAAATTTCTAGTCATCGATTGCACTAAACCTAATCGACCTCAGACGCTGAAAATTGTTTCTTAATTTTCTCATGGCAGCCACAACTTTACAATACAACAAAAGGTTTTTTCCAATTTGTTCAAAACGTCAGATTGAAGTAAACACTAATTTGAACGCTTGCATGACTTCTGCCGACGACCACATTAACTTTCCTTTGATTGAGAAAATAGTTGGGGGTAATACTGAAGTTAGATGCGTTTAATGGAGCTAGCTCAAACAAGAGAAAATCAATCAACGACAGCACGTGGCTTAAATTAAAATTTTAAGAATGGAACCTGTTAACCGGTTAAGATTGACGACGTTTGTAGCAAGGGTCACAACAATAGACGCTATCGATTTGCATGTGAAGGCGGAGGGGAGGTTGGGAACCGTTAACTTACAAGTGCTAGTCAGATCTCATGTAAACTGCCTTTCACTGTCGTTTGCGAAGTCCCCTAATTCATTATCAACACGGAAAGCTTTGAGACCGTCTAAGAGAATTCGTTTAAAAATCAAAGCTTCTCAGGCTGACGATCATTTCCTTTTATTATTCCCATGATCTACATGAACGATTCAGTTGTATGTCTGTAAGGAGAAATTAGATGCTGGTTTCTTTAAGGGTTTAAAGGGTTAGACAGTCTCTTTTTAAAATATAAGCTGTCTTATTCCTTCTTGAGCTATTTTAATGTACAAAGCTTAATACGTAATTCACGAACTAAACCATTTTCATTTAAGACACGCACGTTACATATACAGCTGCAGTTCATCTCATGTTTCCAATTAACAACCCCCACTGAAAATTTCTGCGCCTACGAAGAGACAAATGAATTAACCAAGTACTTTACAATAAGCCCCTATGTCTTTAAAACACGAAGATCTGACAAGCCCTTCAAGTATTCAATTCGCAGCACGCCATCACAGTGTAATAACGTAATTACACGACTCCACGCTTATCTGGACCGCCTCAGCGGTAAATAACAATGGCGCCATTGGATGACTAAAATTTTTCCTGAAAAGAATATTTTCCGGTATTTTAGGTTAGGGTAATAACCAATCAAGGAGCATTATTCATGTTCAACACCATGAAAAGCCACTTTATCCAAAAGTTTATTGCAACGTCGCCAATGAGTCTGATTAGGGAGGGAATAACTCAATACTCCTAATTACGCCAAAAAAATTCGGCGTCTTAAAATCCCAAAACACAATTAAAAGAGGGAAGTAACAGCGTCGAAGATATTTGTAGTTCTCCGTTTTATTTACCACTCAGCTTGGGGCCGACTTAAAAACACTATCAGTTGTTTACAAAACTCATTAAAATTACACTGAAAAAAAAAACTTTTGAATGAACTATAGATCACATAGCGCAAATTAGGAAAAACGTGACAGTTAACCACTTTGGAAGGGATAGCTTTTAAGGAATAAGTTGCTTGAAAATTTTTTGGTCCTCTTAACGTCTCGTGTTATCGTCTAATTGAAAAATTTTATGAAATTTAACCTCCTTTAAAAAAAATTTCAAGTCACACCTGCAATAATTTGTCTAATATTTAAAAAGCCACATGAAACCAAAAGGAATTTAGGCAAACCTACAAGGCAATAAATTCACTCGTTAAATAAATAGACAAAAAGGAAAGAGCTTAAAACTGACAGAAAAGCTAAAAAAATAAAATTAGGCTTTTACTATGAAAAGAGACAGTAGGCAATGGTTATTGAGAGCATCACCAAAATGTTCAAACTGTTTGGGAACTTACAGGTGAAAGTGGAATTTCAAAAATGAACAAGGTGTTTTACAATTAGAATATTAGCTCAATTCAAAATAAAAAAAAAGGCAGTGAGATGTTAAATTGTGTTGAAAACTACCAATTGAGATTTAAATCAAAATCAATTTAAATGAAAATTAAAGAAACACCAGGTCTAGTTTAAACATGATCTCAGATTTAAACATTCAAAACAAAGAAATGTTTTCATAAAAATATTTTTTTCTATTCTATACTCACATAAACTTCAGAAAATTTTTGATCCCAAAAATATGCAGGATGTTTAATACACACAGTACTATTTAAACCTTTCACTCTGAAGGTCAAATTAATAATTCTCCTTACTGTCTGACATATGTTCCTATAATGCTAGTTTGGATAATTTGGTATTTGATCAACTAATAATCCCCTAATTTACAATTTTTCTCTAATCTCGTCACTTGTCAGGTTAATATTGCATAAATATTGTAAGGAGAAATTCTATTTCAGTGACTCATGGGTGTTGAAGGGTTAAATAACTGATTCACAGGGTGTGCATGACATGCAGTTTGTTATTCAGCTATGTTAAGGAAAAAGAAGGAAGTTTGAAATAAATTCTTTATTATGGCCACCAAAGAAAGGATTCTTCTTCAGATAACATCAACACACTCGCTTTTCTGATTTCTGTTTTGTTACTGCTTGGAAATTTAAGATTTGGAATTCACTGTAACTTGTCTTTTTTGTAGTTTTTCAATCTTGTATGTAAAACATCTTATTATTTTGTATTAATTCCTTGAATTATCTTATAGGATCCCCATTTTGGTGCTTATTAGACATTGTTCCAATCAAGAATGAGAAAGGCAATGTGGTTCTTTTTCTTGCTTCACATAAAGACATAACTAAGAGGAAGATTAGCGGAGAAATCCCCGAGCAGGATGTGGGTATGAAAGTTGAACCAGAGCAAGAGCCTCTTCAAATGAACCTGGTCCCTCTCCACTTTGTAAAAATGTTTATCTTTTCATATCAGAGCTGCTGAGATCTTGGGAAGGGGGTTGAGAGGGTGGGGAACAACAGGATATAAATTTCCCAGGAAAAATACTGATATTGATCCAGAGTGATAATAAGGATGAAAATTTATAGCCTAAAAGAAGGGTAAAGGTTTCTTCTCTAACCTCTCCACTCCGTTTACTGGGATTATCGAAGAGGCCCTTGATACCTGGTTATACTATATAAGAATGTACGTAAGAAAAAGGTTGGTAGGACCTGGTATTCAAAGTGAAAGCCATGTACGTAGGCAAAATTACTTATACAGGTACGGAAAGAGAATGATTCATAAATTATCTGCAGTAATTCTCATCCTTATTTGACACTGGAAAAATATATACTCAACCACTTGCCAAATAACTGTTTTGGTTGGTCACGGTGGATATTATTAATGCACCTATACCTCTAAGCTACGCTACAAAAAATACCGCAGAGATGACACTTACCTATTCACCAGGATCATGATCTCTAGAATCTTTCATAATACGTCCAGTCCAAATAAAGGTCTATATTTTCCGCCACGCTTGTCCGCCATGATGGTTTTGGGGAAACTCCGCTGATCGCTCATTATCCCGGAAGTTTGCATTCGGACTGGACTTAAATTGAATTGGACTGGATTTGGACTGGATTGGAAAATTACTGACTTCTTACAATAACATCCAATTAAACACAATGGCTTCTCAAAGTTTGACAGAAACTAAATTATTCGCTGGGATGCTAGGACCTAATGAAGTATCACTGATTTTTTGTTTTGTCTGTGTGTTTTTTTGTTTGCTTCTTTAGCTTCCGTTTCGGGTGGCACTGAAAAGTTGAGTAGGTCTCGTTCCAGGAAATTCAGCAGAGATGTTCTTCTTCACTTGTCGAGACAATACGCGCAGAGTACTGGTCCTGCGAACAAAGCGAATCCACGAAGACCTATTAAGAGAGCGCGAGTGAGTAAAGAATAATCCCCGCTAGTAAAACATTTCCAGGGTTCCAGCTTGGTTAAACATTTGTAAATTCGAGATGAACTTACAAAGATAAACGCAACTAAATATAAGTTTAAAAAAAATAGAGGAAAAGAAAAGTTTTGCGGTAAAACCACAAAGGAAAGGAACGACTAAGTGTCGGCTGGGAAACGAGAGAAATCATTGCACTGACAAAAATGTGACAAACCGAAAAGCCTGACAAAATGTGATCGATTCTTGATGCGGAAAACGTAGTGAAAATTTAATTGATCCACGGATTGGAAGAAGAAGGGAGGAATGAATGGGTTAAAAGAAACACTCGCTTTTCTGTGGTCCCCCTTCTAATATTCTGTTAGTGACAACTGATCCCCCCTCCACTCCCCTGAAAACCATGAGATCTCCGACTCTACCCCTGCCGCGGGCGATAGACAATGGCCGATCCCTGATACAGCAAAGAAAGTGATGGGAATAAAAAGACAACAGAAATATTCACCAAACGCACGAGAAAAAAAAGCTGACAAAACGTTGTAAGGGGATGGGTGAAAAATAACAAAGTGTATATTCGATTGAGTTCGTTACAGCAAAAAAAATTAAATTCTTAAGTGTCTGAGCAACTGCACACTCACCTACCCCTTCTCAGACCCAACTATCATCTAGGTTACTAACATTGATCGATCTATTTGAAGAAAACAGTCTATGCATACTATGCTATGCATCATACTATACTATGCATCATACTATGCTATGCATCATACTATGCTATGCATCATGCTACACTATGCATCATACTACACTATGCATCATACTACACTATGCATCATACTGTACTATGCATCATACTGTACTATGCATCATACTATACCATGCATCATACTATACTATGCATCATACTAAACTATGCATCTATGCATACCTTCTCTTTGTATAGATGCATTAACTTTTTACTTTGTTATTTTTCTTTTTTTCTTTTCAGTCGTTTTCGTTTAATTCCGAGCGACTACCTCAATACAAGCGAGAGACAGACAAGAAATCAAAGTTTCTTTTTCTACACTATAGTAACACCAAAGGATTCTGGGATTGGTGGATACTCATCTTGACAACCTATATTGCAATCATGGTCCCTTATAACGTCGCTTACAGGAGAAACGATCGGAAAAGGGACCTAATTATATTTGATATGGTTATAGAGTTATTTTTTATTATGGACATCGTGGTTCACTTTCGTACTTCCTTCGTGGACCCAAGTGGACGGATTATATATGACCAGAAAAAAATAGCGATTCATTACCTTAAAGGATGGTTTGTTTTGGACTTTCTGGCAGCATTGCCATTCGAGGCTTTATATTTTGTCAATCAAACTTGGGTAAGTAAAGCATTTATGTCGTTTGATAACGATCGATATCAAGTGCAGTGGAGGTAATTCCTACCATGCTCAGATACCAACAATCAAGGTTACAACCAATAGTATAACGCGTATATGATATTACAGAAAGCAACAAAAAGAGTTCAGGACTCATGCATCGAAACTGATAGAGTTTGGGATTTATTCACAATAAACCCTCTTGTAAACAGAAATTATTTGAACTAGAGGGTTTCTAATTTTGTCGTCTTTCCTAGCCAACTGTTGTCGCGGTCTCGCACGCAACGCGCTATTGAAGCGCAATTTTCTATTGAAGTAATAACTTATTATTAACCTCTCCCCGAAAAAAAAAGGAAAGTGCTTCCAGTTTAAGTAGCTGTTGGTGGAGGAGAGATCACGTTGCGTGAACGATACAACGCGCGCGTGATAATAGCAAACAACAGCTACAGGTATCACATTAAGTGCTTTTAAACAGAGTCCACTGAGGTGCGGCTTTCAGCAAAGGTCGAACAATGCCATATACTAACCATGCAAAACTAACTTTAACCGCTGTTCCGTGTAAATGCAACTTGCTTACAACTTGGCTTGAAATAGTTATTTCTAACTTAACTTTCCAGATCTAGAATCATGCTAACAAAGCTTTAAAATCATTACAATTGCATTTAACTAACTTATAATACTAGAAACATAACAACGGAAATTGTAATCGTGCTCTCTTCATCTTTAATGAATAAAGTTTTATTTTAAATTCCAAGAAATTATGCTACTGGTCATCATCGCCATTATCCACTAATGGTCCGCTCTAATGAATTAGTACGTCGTATCATTTGGCTGTTTCTTTCCTTATATGCTTTTCTCTCTTTTCGTTATCTAGGCACATTCAACATTTGATAGAAAAGGCTCTTCATTCAATGAGGTACCTCGTAGATACATTTAGACTATGTACATTTCATCTCGAGTCTGAAAGTCTCACTTAAATTTCTGTTTTCGCGTCACATTAAGGCACCTTTATTGACCTTATTTTATTATGTATATCTAAATATACGTGTAAACCTTCGTTACTTTTTTTCTCTTATTCTGATATTTTTTCTACTTTTTCTGACTAAACGCAGATTGTGCAGACCGTGTTGGTCGCCTCCCCTTTGGTCGCCTCCCCTTTGAAAAACAACTTGAGACATATCATTTCACCTTCCTCATCTTTGACTTTAAAACAAGCTTTAAAATTTGAATGACTCAAATATCAATCGATAAGGATCTTACATCAAATAATTCGTGTCAATGTCCTTATGTAAGCAACTACGCACCTATCCCTCCCCTAACCCAACAAAATTGGCGAGACCTTCCGGTATTTATCCACACATGTGCGTGAGCACTTGGTCAGTGATAGGACCTCTCTCATTTTCAAACATTTACACAATTCTTCACAATGTCACACTCTATGTTCTGATGAGTGTTTTAGTATCTTACATCACGCTTCCACAACTTTCCAACTTAAAATCAAAGAAATTATCCATATTCAATGGGAGAAACCCACACTTACTCATCGACCATATCATGTTAATTTACAACTTTCCCTGTAATTGCATACATTATTCTGCTACTGTTGTTTGTTTTGTCCAATCAGCATTTTGTTATACACTTTGAACTCGATTCTGTACTTTTTAAAAATCAGAACTTGAGATGACCGAAGAACTGTCGAAACATATGTTTAAAAAGTGTCGTTTATTTTCTTAAATTCGTTACAATAAAATGCAATTTTAAATGTAACGAAATTAACTGGTAAGCGAAAAGGTTTAAAATTTAGTCCATCAGGGTGAAACATTTCTCAACATGGATGAAGTCAGTTGCTTTCTGTAAACTAACAGACACTTTTTCTTAATCAACAGGGTTTTCTTATTCAACTTCTTAAATGCGGGCGCCTTCTCCGACTCTTTCGCGTAGTTCGTAAGCTTCACCGCTACACTGAATACAGTGCTATACTATTGACTCTTCTTATGATAGCATTTGCGATGATGGCTCATTGGCTTGCCTGTATCTGGTATGTGATTGGTCTATCTGAAGTCTTAGAAAATTCAACAGTAAGTTGGCTGTATGCGCTTGGCGAGACAATCAACAAACCGTACGTGAACTTTACGGCAGAGACTGGACCCGACGAAGGGTCCGCTTACATCACCGCTTTGTATTTTACGCTGACCAGTATGACAACGGTAGGATTTGGTAACGTGGCAGCAAACACGAATGGCGAAAAAGTGTTTGCTGTTGTTACAATGCTGATTGGAGGTTCGTTTTAATATTTTTAATATTGTTCTACTTCATAAGAGTTTTGTAATTGCGGCAACCGAGTATAGCCATGAAAACGAGGCAAGCTTGGGGAATGATAAGCACTGGAAATAAGGAGTACGGATCCCAGTCCCCTCGTTAGTTTTCTTTACTCATCCACCTTTCCCTCGTCCTTACTAACCAAGACCCGGGAATTTGTAGAATACAAGGAGTCCCTCCATTTCGGCGAAGTCCGTCGCACGATTAAAAAAAAATGAGTGGCGTCGGTGCGCCGCGGGAGCCCATGAGGGCGGCTGGAGCTCCTGCGCATCAAAGTCACTCCAAGAGCTCCTCGCGGCTTGCTAACATCAATTTTTTTCACTGATTTTTTTTTAACTCGCGCGACTGCTCGTAGCCTTGGGAATATGCGACTGCCGTAAGCACTCGCTGCCTGCAAAATAGGAAATGGTTAATTCACTATCTATTAGTGTAGGTAACCATGATCAAACTATTTGAAGCATTTTGGGATGAAAACGTACCGCACGAGAAGGTCTACCTTTTTTCAAAGGCTAAAATATCGCACAAGTTTGTAAGGCGAACAAAGTTTATTACCTTTGAAAAAGTTAGACCGCTTGTAAGTAACACGTAGTTGATTTTCAATTTTTTGCATTCAATTTGTAATTTTCTGCACTGTTTGTAATGCATTGATATGCTCAAAGCCAATAGGCAAGCTGAAATGTTGCGTGCATGTGGTGAACTTAGAGACCTCGCATACGACACATAACGACAATACATCTCTTTAAATTGCGTTGAGAATGATTGTTCCTCTGCACAGCGTAGAACTATAAACCTTGATCTGTAATTACTCATAAATAAACAATGACTTCTTTAAATCTCTTTACAGCATTGATGCATGCCGCTATATTTGGAAATGTAGCCGCTATCATTCAAAAGTTATACGCCAACCGAGTTCGCTACCATTCCCGCGCGAACGAAATCAAACAGTTTATCAGAGTTCACAGAATTGATCAAGATTTAGCTAATAGGCTTGAAGATTATTTCCACACTACATGGTCTCTTTCTGGAGGTGTCGATACCAGCGAGGTATGTAAAGAATGTTCAAAAACCTAGAGCAGTCATAGTGTCACATCATAATTTTATTCTCATGATTGAATAAAATGTTTTTGTACTTGAAATTCAGATTGCGGAAACCGTACAAATGCGTAGCAAAGCCAATTTTATGAACGTTGCTTCTAAAAACTATGCAACTAATCCACTATCGTGGTGATGATTACAAGGATTTTAAAGTCGCTTGCATGTCTTATATCTTCATACGATTAAGAGCATAGCTCACAATTTGTAGCCTGTTTTAGAAAAATAATTAGTAAAACGAAGCACAATGTGGGTCCAAACCTCTCGTTTTTCGCTCGGATTTTGCACCGTTTTACTGCTGGACGTCTGGAATACGCCAACCATTTCAGACTCTAAAGGACCTGAAGTGTTACTTTTTTGTCTGATGCCCCTGCTTTCGTGCTTGTATATCTTTTAGCTGGGTTTGAAATCAATATCTATTTTTGATGAAAAAACAAAGTTAACCTTGAGAGTTTTCTGCTGATTCTTCTCAGATTCTCACCACGTTTCCGGAGGAACTCCAGTCAGACGTGTGCATGCATTTGTACAAAGGCCTATTGGAGCTCAGCCCCTTTAACCTGGCCCCACGCGGCTGTCTTAAAATGCTCTCGCCCCAGGTCCGCACGGTTTATATTGGGCCAGGCGAGGTGCTTTTGGCTCAAAATGATGTCATTAACTCCATTTATTACATCGCTAATGGGTCAATGGAGGTGTTACAAGGGGAATCTGTGGCAGCCATTCTTGGTAGGTGTTACAATGCTTTGTAAGTGCTGCTAGCAAATACACGGAAACTTTGTTAAATTTCGATTAGCAAATGGTTAAGAACTTTGTTAGCCAAAGGCATACCAAAAAAAAAGAAAATAAGCAAAACCAACTCTGCACAGCTATAATCCTCTAACCAATGTGTTTTCGTCATTTAGGAAAAGGAGATCTTTTTGGCGAAGACATTTCACGGAGAACTCCCGCAAAGAGAGCTAATGGTGATGTCAGGGCCCTGACTTATTGTGACGTGTACTTCATCACACGTGATCGCTTGCAGAATGTTTTGCATTTTTATCAAGACTTTGCTTTTAAGTTCTCCGAAAGTCTTGAGCTCACGTACGACCTGGGAGCAAGTGAGGTAATGGTTGAATAAAATGTGTCGTTCTAAAACCAAAGTGAGTTGATTGCACGCAGTTTTGTTTGCTTGATTTTAAAATAAGTTTTGATTGGCTCCTTGTAACTGTATCACTCGTTCTGATTGGATGCTGTGACGGCTTTGGTTTTGGTTTTAGAACAATTTTCTATTAAGCGTCAAAAGTAATCCGGGATTGCTTTGGTTTTGCTTTACCTTGCTCTGTGATTGGTCCAGAAAATACGCACCACTCTCTCAACGAATCAGATGCAAATCTAACACCAATTGCCTGCGTTTTCCCGCCCTTTTAGCAGCTTGCTTGTTATTAACTCGAGTTCTCGAGTTCTCACTGGCTTTTCAGAATATTTTCCTCTCTTCTGATTGGCCGTTGTAATTACTATGGTATTGATTTTACGACACTCAATCTAAGAGCAATCTAAATGAGGTGTGAAGCGGTTTGAGCGTTAGAAATATTGTACTTATAATGCAAAATGTCCCTGACCTTTTTCTCGAAAATGATTCTTAAGAACCCATCAATCTTTGTTGCCGGGGCCTCGGAGGATTTTTTGAGGAGGATAACGTGGTTCTCCGGGGTAACGGAGTGGAGATCAGAAAAAGGATTGGTAATAAGGGAATCATATTATGAAAAATGCAGAGACTTATGAAGGAAGCAGGTAAATATTATTGTGAGACAACCAAACCCTCCGTGCGCCCCTCTCCCTTATCCCCCACAGAAGAGGGATAATAACCGTTCATTTATTTTTCGGAGACTTGATAGCACCGGCTAATCCAAACGAATTGTTGCACGCCATGCTGAAAGTTCTTGCGGTTCGTTTTTCAACACTGTTGTACAAGTTTTAAGTCAATTTTTGAGTGCGACACAGATATTTCTGATTTTTGATCCCCATCGATCTAACAATGATGCAATTTCTTGTTTTTTGTGTACAGCGCGATATTTGGCGAAGGGGAGGCCTGGACTCGATTTCAGAAGACGAAGAAGAAGACGATGAAGAAACGGAGACTAATGCACTTGATGGCGTGTTTAATCACGTGAACCACACCAGTCATTCAAAAAATTCCTATAGCAACGCAACTCGGTTCAACAGAAGGCCTGGAAACACGTTGAATCTGTATAGAAAACCTAATCACTTAAAGCTTTCAGAATCATGGACTGGACTAATGAAAAACAACTCGTCGGAATTGAGAAACCGATCGAATCACGTCGATAAACGACCGTTATCTGTCTCATCTCCTGAAGACGAAACATCAAGACCTCAATCTCCGCGATCCCTTGTGCGTCAGCTCGCTGTGGAAGTGAATGCTGGCTCAATAAATAATAATGCATTGGACTTTTCTCCTGAAGAGAAATCTTCGAGTGAACCGTTTACTGATCGAAGTCTTGAGTGGGATCAAGAGAATTTCTCATTAAAAAATGAAGCAAATTCACCGAATGGTGAAAAGGATGGAGGCCAGTGTCTCGAAATGAAGAAAGTGGAGACAAAAAGTTCGGCGAGTTTAATGGGAGAAATTGATGAAGAAGAAGAAAATGATGAACGTGACAAACTTCTTTTACGACACTCGTTCTCTGAAGATGAATCCATCGACGCAAATTCACAGGCGAGTGATTCCCCTGTGTTGTCAAAAAGATTCAGCCAAGACTTTTCCACGCATCTTTCATTGGGCTGCGAGGGGATCGATGCTTCCTCACTGTTCGCAAACGGAGATAAAAAAGCTGCTGAAAAGGACGAAGACACTAGTAATTATTATCCGAAAAGAATAACCGAAGAGGACGACAACGATTGCTATCCAAGAAGAATAACTATGGCAGAAGACAATCCGTGCAGGTTAAATGACAGTATTGGCGACATAAGGAAGAGTTTATATGATGATGTTTTCGACAGTTCTAGTGATCTCCACAATACAGACACTCCGATAGGTTTATTTGACAATGGTATTGGAGACACTGTGGGAGGCTCATGCGACGATGTTGATGGTAACTGTTTCTCTGATTTGGATACCTCGTCTAGTATAACCAGACCTCCTCGTTATATTTCGTCACCAACTTTCAGCAACCGACACAGGAATTCTGGTCAAAGTACGGTTACTTCACCTGTGGAGAGTGTGCGCGGAAGTTGTAGAAGTGGCCTCTCTGAGCTCCCATTCAGAGGGAGCTTCACGGATGGTCCTAACAGTCCATATGGAGAACCAAGGGGATCTTCATTCTCTCCTTACTGTGAAGGCGCTCGAGCGAGCCGTCAAAATTCTGCTGAAAGTTCAAGGAATTCTATCCAGTCGCGTGGATTTGAAACACAAAATAGTCCGCGAAATAAACTAATGAGTGTTGTTTCTGGTTTTAGGGCACCAAGTCCCTATGGCGGAAGCCTTAAAGACGGACAAACGGTTTCTCGTCCAAAGCGCGGTCGAAATGGGGGCTTAAGGCGCACTTTAACTGAATTCTATTCGCCAACCAATTCCAACAGTTCTCTTAATGAGAAACCAGCACCACCAGGGAGGAGGAGGAAAGTTTCCGGGGCTATTAAACCCCCTGCGATATTTGCACCGCTTGTTACAAACGTAAGCAGCCCTTATAAGGACTTTGTACCACCTATGCGGGAGTCTGCGATCACGTGTGATTGTGAGGCCCTGCATGCGCATGACGCGACATGTGAGAATCGGCAATTGAGCCCAGACAGTGAAAAAGATGGCTGTGAAGAAAGGAAAAGTGACCATTTTGACACAGATAATTCTGAAGATAGAGGAAAGGACTTCTTCGGAGACGCTGGAAATCTGATCGCCGAGAAACAACTCAGACGCCTTAGTGGCAGAGATAACGATCGTCTTTTGAGGGAAAATTTGCCCATGTCTAGATCCACATTATCCTCTCAAGCATCGATGACCAAAAGAGAACTCGAAAGCGATCCTTCCCAAAAAATTGATGACTCATCAATTGAATGCAATTCCGTTAAAGAGATTGATGACGACTTCGAACGAAGGTTCTCGATCTCGTCCTATTCAAACACTAATCACCGACCCAGTCTCTCTGGGGCTTATTCTACCGAGTGCATCGAAAAGGAAGAGATCCCGGAGAGCGATGAGCAGGGGCAACTATTTCGGCCTATGCGATCCAGCTTCTCAGAACCGCACTTAAGTCTAAGAACTCCTGTGCTAGAAGGAATTGCAGAGCACAGATTTTCCGAAGAGGAGCTACAGATAGATCAAAACAGCATGGAGACCCAGGATACACATACAAGAAACCTAGAGGAAATTTTTAAAGACGTTTGCAGCACCAAAGAAGCCATAGAAAAATTGGAGTTGATTTTGAGCTCATCTGAAACAGATACTCAAACAGATCTCGCGGACACGAAACAGACAGTTAAAAAACTAGATAAACAGGTTTTGAATCTAAATAAAGAGGTGGAATCTCTTAGCAGCGACGTAAAGATGATTTTGAAACTCCTAAAAAGCATGAAGAATGGCGAAGTTGTTGCTTAATGCTATACAAATTGAAAATAAAAGTATAAAACCATAGTGTTCGTGAAAGCTTCACGAAAGCACAAACATGTGTACATAAAGAGATGTAATTTTGTAAAAAGGCAACCAACAGAGAACATTGCAATATACCTCTACTCGTTCCACTTTGACCAGAGGTTCCTAATGCCATTCAGGTGACGTCATACTCTAAACTAAGCTTCTCCTTAGTCATGAGCGCATGACGTCAATTTCACCACATTGGTGTACCTGAACAATACATGTCGGCCATATTGGTGTACAAAATCTTTTCCGTGGAAGTTCAATACTCAATTATGCCGTCGGTCTCGCTGACGCGGGAAGAACTTACAAAATGATCCAAATTTTATAGATATGTATATTTTTCCATAAACTCGTAAATAGCATTCAACAATGATATTTTTATGTGTACATGCGAGGAATGTATTGAAAAAGTCTGGTTGGAATAAAATGAGTAATGAATTAACACCATTATAACAGCTGTTATTAGTTGCGAGGAGGGAAATGTGAAATATTTTTTTCTGGCTTGCGTGACCCTGCATCTCCATCTTGGAAAAAAAAAATACTAACCTCTCCTAAGAGAATATCAAGTTCAGTATTCTCTTACCTTTCCCTTTTACACGCTCCCTCTTCTTCGCATAGGACTTTGAACAGGGTTGGGATGTGAATGGAGACCTAATTTCGTACCCAGATTCTATCGTGCAGCTGTAACTGAAATATAGGATCGCCTCGACGTGAACGTTCTGGGTAAGAGACTGGGGCAGACCTCAACAAAACTTACCCCTCTCTCAGCCCCTTCCCCCGCCTTCCTTGTCGTTCATATTTTGCATACCCTGACAAAGTTATGATGTCTAAGTTTTCCAGCATAGGAACTTTCCTTTATAAGAATATATTTTAGGCCGAGCTCTCTATTTAAGGTTTTTCCTTTGCTGAAAGATCGGACAGGCAGCATACCTGTTCCAATGAGAAAAATCCTCTTTAGGAAAAAATATTCAAGATGCCTGTTAACAAACGCAGCCGTTTTTGTAGAGGGGAAAAAGTAATTGAGAAGGTAAGCATCTCCTTAAAACAATGCAACCACCCTGACTAGCGCCTCAGGGGTTTGTTAGGGAAGGTAGGCTGATTGGGTCTATTGGGGATGGGATAATCTCATACCCAGATCCAATCGGTAACTGTAACTCAAATAGCCGTGAAAGTCTAGGTACGAGAATATGGATGGGAGCTATTCAGAGAAAAGAGCTCGATAGAACGCTTATGTTGCTTCTAAAGGAACGTTGGCGGAACCTCTAAGAGAAATTTTGTTTGCTAAAGATTAATGATATATTTTCCAGTCCTGGTACCATAACGTCAGTATTCATATAAAGAAACGAAAACGAGTTGGAATCACCTGACTGCCCACGCGAGCATCATGTGATGACGGTATGTTGCGTAACTAATGTGATAGAAATAAATATCAATGGTATCACGTAGTTTCGTCCTCACGGACGATTTTAAATTACTAGTGGATTCGTAACCAAATTCAGACGATTCGCACCCAGTTTGATTCGGTTCGTACCCAACCTGCCGGTCGATTCATACACGACCTAACATTCAGTGACGATCCAACCGTTAGGAGATCTCACAAAATACCTCACGCTTGAGTGCGTGAGCATATCGCGGCGATGGTTGCCTACAACAAGTTAATAAAGAGTCACGCGTGTAAGATAAACGTTAAACTCTGCCGTAGATACGAGTGACCTTCTTAACAACAGCAACATCAGACCACGTATTTTCCGAGTTATCGGCATTAAGTTCGGTGGTCGCGTATTAAATTGGACGCCACATAAACAAAACTTATTGAACTCAGACTACATTGTTATTTACAACTGTAACTCCAATGAGTGGCCAAAAGAGAACTTCTCCTTACAATACTAAAACAGCGTGAAGCAAACAGATGATGAGAAAGACGAAAAAATATCAATTAGGGAACTGTTAGTTGATTCAATACTAAATTCTCTAAACCAACAAAACGACTACACAGTTAACAATTGGTTCATACGTTAGCGTGCGTTCATCGAGATATGAAGCACGCGGGAAGTTTGGAGAGCACTCAAGAAGCTAGAGTTGCTCTCGGCTACGCCTCGAGCAACTCTTACGCATCTTTCGTGCTCTCCAAACTTCCCGCGTGCTTCATATCTCGATGAACACACAGCTGACGTATGAACCAATTGTTTTGTAACATTTTCAACTCGATGGAAAATATTTTTCTCGAGGGATTTGTTTGCTGACGTCATGAGCGCGCACAATAGGAATATGAAGCACGCTCGCGCAATTGAATTTGATTAGACAAATTTACTAGCTATGTTATAAAATGGGTTGGAATATAGTCTGAGTTTAGTACAAATCGACTGGGTACAAAACGTCCGTGGGTACGAAATGACTGATAACCATATCAGTATAAGCTGATGACATGAGAATATCATGTAACACAATTATCTACATAGTTAAGATACGCAACTCTGCTGGTGTTTCAAAATAAAAGTACCGCTCAGATAAACGTTCAATAGTTTCGCCAAAAAGTCACAACAAGTTGGCACTACAATATTTGAAAGTTTTTTTTTATTTTTGATTGCACAAATTTGCTCGGACTGTTTGAGAAAAAAAAATTCAAACGTGTGAAGGAAGTTGTATGTGTATTTATGATAACCCGAGGTTACAGCTGTTCTTTTTGCGTTTCGGTTTTTTACGCAATTAAGTGTTCTTGTTGCCAACTTTAAACTCACTTTTTATTAAATATTCCAAATGAAGGGCGGCGCTTATTCTATAATTACTACTACAGGAAAATTTGAAAATGACTGAACATAGAATAATTTGAAATTCAACATGAAATCTCGACTGACCCGATCGAACAGTTCTGATGACTGTAAAATTATTTCTTTGAATGCATCTATCGTGACTACTAAAAACCCTGCACACAACAGCGATTTTATCTGAATTAAAAATATTTCTAAAAATTGAAATAATTTTGTCAAAAGCAACACCGCAAATTATACTTTTGTAACAACATAACAATTATGCTCGACTATATTTTTAAGACAAAAACTCGTAAATATATTTTCACGAATATTTGCTACAGATCGCTTTTTTTTGTCTGTTATATCACTCTGATGAGTCATTCCATAAGAAGAGTTCTGTACGCGTAAAAAATATCACACATTAAAAATAAAGTTTTTTTTATTGACTCTGGACTGGATATTATTCATTCAGTATATTTGTTTATGAAAGTTTGCAAAATATATGTATATCTATATATTTTTCAACCTGTGTTGTCCAAAAGGTGCAAGTGGGAAGCTCTCGCACAAAAAAAAGACGATTCTAATCTTTGTGGGAAGTGGATTTTCTGAACCTATTTTTTTATAAGTAGTCACTAAAAACTACGTAGGTAAACACATGTATTTGCTTATGACTTGTTAAGAGGTTGAAAAAAACCCATAAAGACCCTAAGGATGATTAAGAAATTTGACGCGGGATTGAATTTTACTTCTCAAACATACCTACGTTATTGATTTTCTCGTCAAATTCAGTAGATTTACTTTATTGAGGAATTTGGTAAGCTGTAATGGAGAACAGATACGTTTATTCAAATGCTGATGCATTGCGCTTCAACTCGCTAGAATCATAACTATAATTATCGCAATTTTAAATGCTAATGAAGACTTCTTTGATAAGGCCATGCAACACTTGACAACGGGAGCAATACATGTCCTGTTCGGTAACCAAAACAAACTGCTGAACAAAATGACTAGAATTAATTTGGAAGAGAAAATAAAATATTTAAAATGTCCTTATTCTTAACAGTGTGCAAAATTAAATTTATGCTTAGCTAACAACAAAGCAAATCACACATTTTCCCAGTACTTTTGAAGCCACCACCACAGTTTATTTGTGATATTTTCCGCTTGAGTGGCAGGTGTACTTACGAGCGCCATCTTGAATTTTAAACACGTCAGTCATGCGCTAGTGGGCCATAAATAAAAAGCGAACACCTCAACGCAGTTCCGCCTTAGTCTGCTGAATACACGATGGAAATGACGTCCTAACTTTTGGGTCAATTTTTCGTTTTCTTTCGGCCATGGCTAATCGTTTTAGACAATTTCGTTTGCTGCTGTGGAAAAACTTCATTTTGCAGGTTTGTGATGCAGTGACTTTCTTTGGTGAAATCTGCACAACTAATGGTGTATCTGGCGTCCTCTTGTTCACTGCAGTCGCTGCTCACAATTTGTTTCGCTCTCTTTTTATTTGCTTTGTAGGTTCGTCGGCCGATAGGAACAGTATTCGAGCTCTTATTGCCCGTTCTTCTCATAGGAGTTTTAATCCTACCAAAGTAAGTTGCAATCATCGTGATCGGCGTTTTTAGAAACATTACGTAATTTATATTTGCTGAAGATTTTGTCTAAAGAGGACACAAATCACCATTCTCTATCCAAGCGATACATGGAAGAACAGCTGAACAAGTCAATTTGAAAATGAAAAGATAATATTTTACAACTATACAGCGCACTGCGATCGGCGAATCTAATTGTTATTATGGTGTGTCGATCGACAAACCGGCACGAAACCGTGGTGAGAGAATATTACGTTTAAGAAAATCACTAATTGCTTGAATCCTCATCAGCGCTTTATAGATCACCCTTCAGGTTAAAAATACTTGTGATTGTCTTCACCATTGCACAGAAATCAGAATCGCTGTTACACGAGAAACTTTTAAAACATTTAAAAGTCGAATACTCAAGAGCAGACGTGAATATTGCAAGCCGCTCACCCAGATAATTGAAATCATGAGAGTCCACTATGTTCACCGCAAACAATGTTTCTCAGCCCAATATAGCAATATTTTGACGATGTATACTCGGGTATAAGCTTCAGTTCATTGGACGAGAAAGATCATATCGCCTCACGGTTTCTAAAGTCTAGAGTACATCCTAGGTACGTAAACGATCCTCTAAGTTTCTACCATTACACCATACGGAACTTGTTGGGTGATCGAAAGATGCATTCGTATGCACAAAATTTTACCGATAAGGCCACAAGCCGCAGAGTTACAACTGAAAAATAAAATATTCTTCAAACAGCTGCAGTTCATATGTTAAAAAGATCAAAGCAACATTCGATTTCTAGTCAACGAGGAGTTATGAATGAACACCATTAACGCATATTGAACCCCCAATGATATCTGATATTTCACGTTTATAGCTGCATGGATTCAGTAAGCTACAAAATTGAGCATGTAAGGCTAAGCTGCAACAAATATATAAGCTTTCCCCTACAACGAGAAAAGATTAAAATATAGTTTGTTTTGAATTTATTGATTAACAAGGCTTACTTATTCAAAACTGTCAAGCAAAGCAACGATCCTTTCAGGTGGACAACAACGAGCAGTTGTACAAAAGAAGCCTGA